TAATAATAATGATAATAAAGAATCATAAAGAAATATAAAAATGAAAAAAAAAAGATAAAAAGTGAGAAACAAATGAAACCTTGCAATTGTGTGTAAATGAGGCAGAAAGTCAGATGAGGGAGGAGAGGGTGTGGTGCTGTGCCATTAAATATACTGTACAGTGTGCTTGGATCTGTCCCTAAAATGTTCAATTTTTTCGCAGTCTAAGACGTAGTGTTGGAGTGTGTGGCCTTACACTTTACATTTAGTTTTGTTCACATCTGCCTGAGGGATATACTGCCAGAGGTACTTATATCCTAACCTTAGTCTAGCAGTTACAACATCTTGTAATCTAGTGATCTTGTTACTGTTCCATATACATGTTTCACTTGATACATCTCATCATGGTAAACATTGGACTGACTAGTGGTGGTGGTGGTGGTCGGAAGGTGCTGTGGTGGTGGTGGTGAGAGACACCCCCGGGGTTGTGGTGTACCATCCGCGCCATGACCATGCACATCCTGACCCACCACCATCCTACCACCATCGTCCTACCACCATCACACCACCACCACCATTGTCCTACCACCACCACCCACTCTTCCCCCACAACAACACCCATCCTTTAATTCCTCATTCGTTTACACGGTTATATATCAGCGGGTGACAGAGGTAGTGTGGAGGAGGTGAGGTAGTGTAGCAACCTCCCAATGAGATGTGAAGGTTTTCGTGCACACTCTGGGATATGTCTGCTCGGGATGTGTAGACTTAGTACTGGTAGACAGACAGACAGACAGACTTCCCGGCCACAGGCGATACACGTGGCCCCAGCAACAAAGCTCATCCTGGACCATGCCTGCCTGCTCTCTCTCTCTCTCTCTCTCTCTCTCTCTCTCTCTCTCTCTCTCTCCCATTCAACACTTCAGCTGGATCTCTTCATTGTTATTCTCGAATAATTCTGCAAAGTTTCTTCATTCTCCCCCCCTCCCTGCCTGCCAACCTCCTCCTCCTCCCTACCTGCCAACCTCCTCCTACCTGCCAACCTCCTCCTCCCCTACCTGCCAACCTCCCCTCCTACCTGCCAGCCTCCTCCTCCTCCTTACCCCACCCAACCTCCCCTCCTACCTGCCAGCCTCCCCTCCCCACACCTGCCAACCTTCCCCTCCCCTACCTGCCAACCTCCTCCTCCTCCTTACCTGCCAGCCTTCCCCTCCCCTGCCTGCCAACCTCCCCTCCCCTGCCAACCTCCTCCTCCTCCTTACCCCCTGCCAACCTCCCCCTCCCCTACCTGCACCAACCTCCTCCTCCTCCTTACCTGCCAACCTCCCCCCCTCCCTTGCACTGCCAGCCTCCCCCTCCCCTACCTGCACCAACCTTCCCCTCCCTGCCAGCCTCCCCCTCCCTACCTGCCAACCTTCCCCTCCTTGCCTGTAACCTCCCCCCTCCTACCTGCCAACCTCCCCCTCCCTACCTGCCAACCTCCTCCTCTTCCTTACCTGCCAACCTCCCCCTCCCTACCTGCCAACCTCCTCCTCTTCCTTACCTGCCAACCTCCCCCTCCCTACCTGCCAACCTCCTCCTCCTCCCTACCTCCTCACTACATCCTTGACCACCGAAGGGTCAAGACGTACCGGGCGCTCCTCTGGCAGCAGCCAGGTCAACTGTTAAGTTGGCCCATACCAACCCCCTCCCCTGAACCCTCCTCCCCACCGGAATATCAACAAGTTCTCGCCAGAAGTTACTATTTCATTTAGGAAAGTAATGGAACCAGTGTTGAATAGTGGTGAACAGTGCTTAAGTCAGTGAGAACAACTCAACAGTAACAGTCGTACCCAAGTTAACCTTCACACAGTGAGGTCCCAGGTACCCAGTGATAACGATCCGTGAGACCCAACAACAACCAGCGATGTGTTAATCCGTCTACGATAGGAAGGCCTAAGACCAAACCTCACTCATATAAGACCATCTGTGAGGGAATTACTACACCACATGAGGTCCCTCATAACACCATCTGTGAGGGAATTACTACACCACATGTCCCTCATCACACCATCTGTGAGGGAATTACTACACCACATGTCCCTCATAACACCATATGTGAGGGAATTACTACACCACGTCAAGTCCCTCATCACACCATCTGTGAGGGAATTACTACACCACGTGAGGCCCTCATAACACCATCTGTGAGGGAATTACTACACCACGTCAGGGTCCCTCATAACACCATCTGTGAGGGAATTACTACACCACGTGAGGCCCCTCATAACACCATCTGTGAGGGAATTACTACACCACGTGAGGTCCCTCATAACACCATCTGTGAGGGAATTACTACACCACGTGAGGCCCCTCATAACACCATCTGTGGGGAATTACCACACCACGTGAGGTCCCCTTAACACCATCTGTGAAATTACTGCACCACGTGAAGCCACTCCAACGCCATCTGCAGGGAGTTACTACACCACGTGAGGCCCCTCATAACACCATCTGTGAGGTAATTACTACACCACGTGAGGTCCCTCATAACACCATCTGTGAGGGAATTACTACACCACGTGAGGCCACTCATAACACCATCTGTGAGGGAATTACTCCACCATGTGAAGTCCCTCATAACACCATCTGTGAGGGAATTACTACATCACGTGAGGCCACTCATAACACCATCTGCGAGGGAATTACTACACCACGCCAGGTCCCTCATAACACCATCTGAGGGAACTACTACACCACGTGAGTTCCTCCTAACACCATCTGGGAGGGAGTTACTACACTACGAGTTTGCTGTTCAACACCTATATTAATCTGTATGTTCACTATATGTTCCTTTACCTTTCTCTAATGAAGGCTTTTGTTAAACCACCAATGTATGTAATAAGTCATTTATGTCCAATGTATATTTTCAGCCTTCGGGCTGCAGAATTTTTTCAATAAACCGTTAATTATTATTATTATTATTATTATTATTACCCCAGCACACCTCCCCCTTTCGCCTGTTAACCTCCCATATTATTATTATTATTATTATTATTATTATTATTATTATTATTATTATTATTATTATTATTATTATTATTATTATTATTATTATTATTATTATTATTATTACTATTACTATTACTATTACTATTACTATTATTATTATTATTATTATTATTATTATTATTATTATTATTATTATTATTATGTGGGGTTCCCGAGTACCGCTAACATTCAGCGTCAGGAGTCACATCATTCAGGCTATGGCTCGTGTAATTATCTAGATACCTGACACACTGAATTAATCCCCGTGTTAAGCCGAATTTTTCCTGAATTATTATGCAAAAATGGATCCAGGTCACGTTTAAAGAGTAACACGTGTGTGTATGTATGTATGTATGTATGTATGTATGTATGTATGTATGTATGTATGTATGTAGACCAAGGCAGGGCTGATTGTTCATTTGACACCTCTCCCACCAAGATGTTTCACCACCACCACCACCACCACCAAAGCATGTAAGGTGTTGACCCTGGTGTTAATAAGTTAAGTGGTTGGTTAAGTGTCTGTGTGTGTGATGTGAGGGTGTTAATGGTGGGTGGAGGGGGGTGATAGTGGTGGAGGGGGTGATAGTGATGATGTGAGTAGAGGTAGTGGGGGTGATAGTGATGGTGAGTAGAGGAAGGATTGATAGTAGTGGTGTGGGTGGGGTGGGTGACAGTAGTGGGGGTGGAAAGTTGGCAGTGTCGTAGGTAGAGGGGTGGTGGTGATGGTGAGTGGAGGTAGTGGGGGTGATGGTGATGGTGAGTGGGATGATGGTGATGAGTGAGTGGGGGTGATAGTGATGGTGGAGTGGAAGTGGTGGGGTGATGAAGTGGTGGTGGGGGGGATGGTGATGGTGGGGAGGGTGATGGTAGTGGTGAGTGGGGGGGTAGTAGTGATGGTGGTGAGGGTGATGGTGATGGTGGTGGGGTGATGGTGATGGTGAGTGGGGTGATGAGTGATGGTGAGTGGGGTGTGTTAGTGATGTGGTGGGTAGGGGTGAAGTAGTGATGGTGGAGTGGGGTGATGGTGGGTGGGGGTGGGAGTGGTGGAGTGGTGGAGTGGGGGTGATGGTGGTGGTGGGTGGGGTGGTGGTGATGGTGGGTGGAGGTGGTTGGGTGGGGGTGGGGTGGGGAGGTGATGATGAGTGATGAAGTGGTGTTGATGGAAAAAATTGTGAGTAGAGGTGATAGTGATGGGTAGTGGGGTGGTGGTGATGGTAGAGTGGGGGGTGGTGGTGAGTGGGGAGGATGATGGTGATGGTGGGTAGAATTGATGGTGATGGTGAGTGGAGAATTGTGGGTGAATCTATCTCATTTGGTATCAATTTATGTATTATATTATAGAGTTATTGATTGCCTCCTTTCTCTTCAGGGATTATGCTGACATGTTCATGTCATTTGCTTCTGTCACTAGGTTGACCGTGTGTGTGTGTGTGTGTGTGTGTGTGTGTGTGTGTGTGTGTGTGTGTGTGTGTGTGTGTGTGTGTGTGTGTGTGTGTGTGTGTGTGTGTGCGTGCGTGTGTGTGGACATTGAATTGCACTTGTGTATCTGAAATATTATCTTGAATGTATTTGATTCAGTGATGCACACGTGGTAATGAAAGGGTGTGCTTACCTGCTAATTTAGAACACCACAGAAATTATTATTATTATTATTATTATTATTATTATTATTATTATTATTATTATCATTATTATTATTATTATTATTATTATTATTATTATTACTATTATTACTATTATTATTATTATTATTATTATTATTATTATTATTATTATTATTGATAAATATTGTTCTAAGCTCATATTGATTCTGGCCAATGTATATCTCGTTAAATCTCTCTCTCTCTCTCTCTCTCTCTCTCTCTCTCTCTCTCTCTCTCTCTCTCTCTCTCTCTCCTCTCTCTCTCTCTCTCTCTCTCTCTCTCTCTCTCTCTCTCTCTCTCTCTCACACACACACACACAGATTGTAATGGTGTATTTTTCTTGTTTTCTTCAGGTGAGGACCAACACGACTCCTCCATAGCACTGAGGAGGGTGAGGCAGCACCAGTACCGCCTCCTTCACTAGCACACTGGGTAAGGTCCTCCCTCCTCTTGTTAGGTGGGGTTAAGTTACATTGGGTTTGGTTAGATTGGATTAGGTTAGGTTGGGATGGGTTAGGTTGGGTTAGGTTAGGTTGGGTTAGGTTGGGTTAGGTTGGGTTGGGTTAGGTTGGGTTGGGTTAGGTTGGGATTGGTTGGGTTAGGTTATGTTGGGTTAGGTTAGGTTGGGATGGGTTGGGTTAGGTTGGGTTAGGTTGGGTTGGGTTTGGTTGGGATTGGTTGGGTTTGGTTATTTCAGGTTTATGTCTGTCTGGCTACACTGTTTATGTCTGTTAGGCTACACTGTTTATGTCTGTCTGGCTACACTGTTTATGTCTGTTAGTCTACACTGTTTATGTCTGTCTGGCTACACTGTTTATGTCTGTTAGGCTACACTGTTTATGTCTGTCTGGCTACACTGTTTATGTCTGTTAGGCTACACTGTTTATGTCTGTTAGGCTACACTGTTTATGTTTGTAATGCCTTAGGTGACCAATAACAGCTTTAATTAGGGTAGTTTAAGGTGATGTGAAAATATACCTTTTTTATTTTATTATTTACATATTTATTATTATTATTATTATTATTGTTGTTGTTGTTGTTGTTGTTGTTGTTGTTGTTGTTGTTCGCCATAGAAGTAGCTCACGCCTCATATTCCAAAATAAAATAGACATTATTAATAGATACAATGAAAGCAAATGTTTATAGAGACACAGTAATGGACCTGTTCTCTGTACACACACACACAGAGGCAGGGGACGAGCCAGGGACCCACTTGGTAGCAGCCAGTCATGAGGCATTTCCCGAGTCTCTCTGCAAACCTGCCCAGACCTAGATACCCCTCCTGCCCCACCACCCTTCTTGCCCCACTACTCCTCTAACTCTCCGGGATGTAGCGAAGGCATTTGACAAACTCTGGCATGACGGTCTAAAATATAAGATCCTCCAACTCGGACTTCCCACCAACATTGAAAAGTTGCTTTACAACTTTATTGACGGCAGAAATGCTAGACTGAGGGTAGGACAACACACAGGAGAGACCTTCCCACTCATGAGCGGAGTCCCTCAGGGGAGCGTCCTCTCCCCCACCCTATATATTATCTACACAAGTGACACCCCGCCTCCCACTAGAACAGGAAACGAAGATATTATGTATGCAGATGACATCACTCAAATAACAACACATCAAGGAAAATCGCGAGTGTTACAGGTCGACAACACCAGGCGGGAATTAGAAAGGGTAAATAATTACGAAAAACAATGGAAAATCCAAACCAGTCTCCCGAAATTCACAGTGGTGGTGGGTGTGGTGGTGATGGGTGTGGTGGATGGTGTAGTGGTGGTGGTAGTGGTGGTGGTGGTGATGGGTCTGGTGGTGGTGGTGGTGGTGGTAGTGGATGTGGTGGTGGTGGCGATGGGTGTAGTGGTGGATTTGGTGGTGGTGGTAGTGGATGTGGTGGTGGTAGTGGATGTGGTGGTGGTGGTGGATGTGGTGGTGGTGGCGATGGGTGAAGTGGTGGATGTGGTGGTGGTGGTGGCGATGGGTGTAGTGGTGGATGTGGTGGTGGTGGTGGTGGCGATGGGTGTAGTGGGGTGGATGTGGTGGTGGTGGCGATGGGTGTAGTGGTGGATGTGGTGGTGGTGGTGGATGTGTGGTGGTGGCGTGGGTGTAGGTGGTGGATGTGGTGGTGGTGGCGATGGGTGTAGTGGTGGATGTGGTGGTGGTGGTGGTGGCGATGGGTGTAGTGGTGGATGTGGTGGTGGTGGCGATGGATGTAGTGGTGGATGTGGTGGTGGTGGTGGTGGCGATGGGTGTAGTGGTGGATGTGGTGGTGGTGGTGGTGGCGATGGGTGTAGTGGTGGATGTGGTGGTGGTGGTGGATGTGGTGGTGGTGGCGATGGGTGTAGTGGTGGTGGTGGTGGCGATGGGTGTGAGTGGTGGATGTGGTGGTGGATGTGGTGGTGGTGGCGATGGGTGTAGTGGTGGTGGTGGTGGCGGTGGGTGTAGTGGTGGGTGGTATTACACTGAGGTCTGTTGAGTGTGACCTTAATTAAGTTTGAGGTGAAGTTAGCCAGGTGTCGGGGTGGGGGGGAGGTGGTAAGAAGGTGAGGTATGTGTGGCACTGCTGGCTGGCACTGACAGTGACCTTGGCATTGGGTGTTGCATGGCATCACCCACGTACCCATCTGCTCAATCCCCTCCCCAACCTCTCTCTCTCTCTCTCTCTCTCTCTCTCTCTCTCTCTCTCTCTCTCTCTCTCTCTCTCTGACACACTGGCCTTGACCCTTGGCCCATTTAGGTCACCTCAACAACTCCGGCAAGTTATCATCCATCGCTTCATCCGTGTTTCTGTTATTTTTCCCTATACGATTCCTTTTCTCCTCCTCCACTCCTTCTCCCGCTCCCTTTCCCTCCTCCTTCTCTCTTCCTCCTCCTCATATCCTTACTCTTCTCCTCTCCTCCTTCTCCTCTTCCTCTTCCTTCTCACTCTCTCTCTCTCTCCTTCTCTTCACCCTCCTTGTCTACCTCCTCCTCCTTCTCCCTCCTTTTCTTTTCCCCTCCTCCTTCTCCTCCTCCTTCTCTTCTCCCTCCTCCTTCTCTCCTCCTCTTATCTCCTCCTCTTCCTCCTCCTTCTCTTCACCTCCTTGTCTCCTCCTCCTCCTTCTCTCCTCCTCCTTCTTATCTCCCTCCTCCTTCTCTTCACCCTTCACCCTCCTTGTCTCCCTCCTCATTGGCAGAATATCACCCCACCTCCATTTTCTTTAAGGTAGTCTGTAATTAAGTAGATTCCAGTTAGTTCATTTTGTGTTGTGCTGGCCCAGTTGTTCAGCCTTTGCTTTTTTGACACTATCCTCTCTCTTTCTTTATATATTACAATTGTTAATGAATATGTTGTATTTCTTTGTGTATGAACCTCTGTCCTGCGTGGCAGTGAGAAGTGATACCACCCTCAGTGTCAAGACCTGACTGAATTACTCACAATAGGCAAACTGTACTACAAGCTTTGTCAATAAATTTGTTAAACTAAACTTGTCTCCCTCCTCCTCCTTCTCTCCCTCCTCCTTCTTATCTCCCCCCTCCTCCTCTCCCTCATTCTCTTTCTCTCCTCCTCGCCCCCTCCTTCTCCTCTCCCTCCTCTTTCTCCTCTCCCTCCTCTTTCTCCTCTCCCTCCTCCTCTTCCTCTCCCTCCTCCTATTCCTCTCCCTCCTCTTCTCCCAGCTTCTCCTCTCCCTCCTCCTCCCCCTTCTCCCTCTCTCCCTATTCCTTTTCCTCTTCCTCCTCCTCATGTCCCTACTCCTTCTCCTCTCCCTCTTCCTCCTCTCCCATCTCACCTATCCTTCCATCTCTGTACACGACCTGGTCTCCCTGGCATCCCAAGAACGTGTTGTGGCATTGTGTGTGACTGTTGACTCGCTGTTGGATGCTGGAACACGTATAGACAAGGACACGGCCTCCCCTGGTCCTCTTGATCACGTACCTACAAGGGCACGGCTCTAGTCCCTCTTGATCACGTACTATTAAGGGCACGGTGGCCTCCCCAGTCCTCTGATCACGTACCTACAAGGGCACGGCCTCCCTAGGTCCTCTCTTGATCACGTACCATATGGGCACGGCCTCCCTAGTCCTCTTGATCACGTACTCTACAGGCGACACGGGCCTCCTTAGTCCTCTTGATCACGTACTACAAGGGCAAGCACGGCCTCTAGTCCTCTTGATCACGTACCTACAAGGGCACGGCCTCCCCTAGTCCTCTTGATCACGTACCTACAAGGGCACGGCCTCCCCTAGTCCTCTTGATCACGTACCTACAAGGGCACGGCTTCCCCTAGTCCTCTTGATCACGTACACACAAGGGCACGGCCTCCCTTTGTCCTCTTGATCACGTACACACAAGAACACGGTCTCTCGCAGTCCTCTTGATCACGTACACGGCCTTCCCTTGTCCTCTTGATCTCGCACACACAAGGACACGGTCTTCCCTTGTCCTTGTAGGTAGTAAGCAGCTACCAAACAGGGAGGTACTACCGCCTGGGAAGATATTGGAAGCATAATGTGTTGTCTAATGGTAGACCCTGCTGCCATATGGCATCACGAAAATTGTGACCAAGTCCCAGGTTGCTGATCTGACTTTCTGCCTCATTTACACACAATTGCAGGGTCTCAATTGTTTCTCTTACTCTGACAACACAACATACATATATTGTTTCTCACTTTTGATTTTTTTTCATTTTTGCATTTCTTTATGGTTCTTTATTTTTATTATCATTATTATTATCATTATTATTATTATTATTATTATTATTATTATTATTATTATTATTATTATTATTATTATTATAATTATTATTATTATTATTATTATTATTATTATTATTATTATTATTATTATTGTTGTCGTCGTCGTCGTCGTCGTCGTCGTCATCATCATTATCATTATCATTATTATTATTATTATTATTATTATTATTATTATTATTATTATTATTATTATTATTATTATTATTATTATTATTATTACAACATTTTCGCCCCCCAGGCCCTGATGTGGGTCAGTGACCTGTGCCCGGGTGGGCTAATCCCTGTACAAAAATAAAAAAATAAAAGGACATATGTTCTTCAATGTGTTCTTCGTCCATTGATAAACATCCACACTTGTTGTAGTTGATGATTTTGTTTGTTTGTTGTTGTTTTAACTGTTAGTTCTTTGTCAGTGTATTAGAGGTAAAAATGTGTGTATGTGTGTGTGTGTGTTAGGTTGAGTTAAATTAGGTTAACCTGGTTAGATTGGATTAGGTTAGGTTAGATCAGGGTTGGGTAATTTAATAATAAAAAATAAAATAAAAATCATTGCCATACTTCTTATTAATAACTTGGCCATCAATTATTAGCATTAAAGTCTTCATAGCACTAGAACACATTATATAATATCAAAACCCTATTATTTTTTTTAAATTCTGAAAATCTTTAAATTTTATCCATAGTATTTTTAAACTCACTGATTCTATTTATTTATTTTCTGGTGCCAGGAATAGATAGTCACCCCCAAAAACTATCTGTACTCGGGGTGATCGATGACTCTCAGAATGAACACTGTGCCTCTTGTTATCTCGGTAGGGTTGTCAAGAGCTTCGTACGTTGTGTCATTTTTTATCAACACAATTTTGTATAGATAATTTGTTGAGTGTAGGTATATTAAATAGGGTTCATACACTCCTTGAATTACCTTGAAAGTTCTTGAAAATACATGAAAAGTGGCCATTACTCCTTGAATTTTAATTTATATTCTTGAAAATAGAGACATACGCTTCTCAGACAAGTACGTTAATGCCTATCAGTTGCTGCTCATGTAAATTAGTACAGTATAGTGTACAGTACTTCACAAGTGTACTACTGTATCGCCTGTATTTAGTTCAGATAATCCCCTTGAAAAAAAAAATCGAGAAAATAGTTGAAAGCTTGTTTTTTTTCCTCCCAGCTCCTCTATGAAGTTACAAATGCTGTTTAAATAATCTTCCTATAGTGTTGATTTTTAGTTCCGTAAGTTTTTCTATAGATTTTTTCGCTCCGATGATAGAAATTTCAGATTTTTTAGCTCTCAGTCGATAGGATGAAACACCAACGCAAGTCACTATATTAATGACCAAATTCATCACAATAAAATATTTTGAGTAAATTTTTTTTTTTAGAATTTTCTCCACTTTTGTAAAAGTTCAAATAATTTCACCAGATATATTGAATTAGGTTTTTAGGTCAAGTAGTTTTTTTTAATTATTATTACTCTTACTACCAATTCACAAAAAATATCAAATACAGTACTGTACTTATAACTGATTTCATTGAATTTACTGTTTATACACGACAAACACAACCGCCTTACAAACATCAACTCTCAGCTGAGCATTGACCAATTCAGTGGTAGGGGGTTACTCTCAGCTGAGCATTGACCCATTCAGTGGTAGGGGGTTACTCTCAGCTGAGCATTGACCCATTCAGTGGTAGGGGGTTACTCTCAGCTGAGCATTGACCAATCTAGTGGTTACTCTCAGCTGAGCATTGACCCATTCAGTGGTAGGGGGTTACTCAGCTGAGCATTGACCAATCTGGTGGTTAGCGTTACTCTCAGCTGAGCATTGACCATTCAGTGGTAGGGGGTTACTCAGCTGACATTGACCCATTCAGTGGCAGGGTTACTTCCTTAGCTGAGCATTGACCCATTCCAGTGGCAGGGGTTACTTCTCAGCTGAGCATTGACCCACTCAGTGGCAGGGGGTTACTCTCAGCTGAGCATTGACCCATTCAGTGGTAGGGGGTTACTCAGCTGAGCACACCCATTCAGTGTAAGGCCATCAGCTGAGCATTGACCCATTCTAGTGGTAGAGGGTTACTCTCAGCTGAGCATTGACCAATTCAGTGGTAGGGGGTTACTCTCAGCTGAGCATTGACCAATTCAGTGGTAGGGGGTTACTCTCAGCTGAGCATTGACCCATTCAGTGGTAGGGGGTTACTCTCAGCTGAGCATTGACCAATTCAGTGGTTGGGGGTTACTCTCAGCTGAGCATTGACCCATTCAGTGGTAGAGGGTTACTCTCAGCTGGATATTAACCCACTGAGTGGTAGGGGGTTACTCTCAGCTGGATATTAACCCACTGAGTGGTAGGGGGTTACTCTCAGCTGGATATTAACCCACTAAGTGGTAGGGGGTTACTCTCAGCTGGATATTAACCCACTGAGTGGTAGGGGGTTACTCTAAGCTGGATATTAACTCATGGTAGTTACTCAGCTGGATACAACTCCACTGAGTGGTAGGGGGTTACTCTCAGCTGGATATTAACCCACTGAGTGGTAGGGGGTTACTCTCAGCTGGATATTAACCCACTAAGTGGTAGGGGGTTACTCTCAGCTGGATATTAACCCACTGAGTGGTAGGGGGTTACTCTAAGCTGGATAAAGTCGTGTGACGTTAACCAGAATAATATACGTAAATGCTATATTTCTCCTTCAGGGTAATAAATCACTTACGTCATTTGTTGTCTAATGTTATTTAGTTAGATTTAGTAAATATTCATTACATAACCATAATGAAGAAAAAATAATTCCCATATTATTTTAATAATTTTTTCATTCACATGTAGTATTATAAACGCCATGGTTTTGGACGTTCAGGTGACGGGCGAGTCGAAGGGAATGATTGAAACCCGTCTTTTGACGCGTTCAATATTTATTGATGAGGTCAAAACCTGCAGAGAACAAGGCGTTCATTAGTATTACATGGTGATCTATCTGATACATAATTAGTTAGTCTCACACATTTTATCTTAATTTTTATTGATTATTGAGTATAGTGACATGATACAAAGTTCATAACTCTATTACTCTTAACTTTGCTTCATTCTGCATTGTCTTATTGCTCCAGGTTAGGCAGAAACGAGTCGATGTAATTAGTCAACAATATTTCAGTACCGATGGGTATGTTCTTTACTTATGCTGTACTTACAAGTGCGGGTCAATGCAGATCAGTATGGTGTTCCAAGAGACAACAGTACTGCATAAATTGTCTCAGCACAAATTCTTGGACAGTATTGTGTGGTGTTTATCATTGCGAGCAGAAGGCTGCTCCTTACAGCATCACTCGAGAGAGTGATCACCTGGAGTCCAGGCGGCCACGCCACTCTTTAAACCATTCATTTAGCAGAATGAGGACCTCCTCTCCGTAAACACCGCCCACCCCCCAATCTTTGTTCGGGTAGGGCAGCAAACGCCAGCACTCACATGCCAGTACTGACGCCAGAGGTGATAACACTCCCGGGGTGCCAGCACTGACGCCGGCGATTCCCCCCCGCCGCATCTCATGAGATTGCAGTCGCGGGGGAGACACAGGAGGCGATCTCTTGTCCGTCCGTAAACACCCGTCCCCCCAGCCAAACAGGTTGAGGAGATCCACGTTTGCTCAAAAGTAAGGCAAAGGACGCTGTTAATCTGGACACCTGCTTAATAAGCCAGCGGCGATAACAGTATAATTGAACCCAAAAAAGGTTTAACTTTCAGCCCCAAGTTTTTTCTTTGATATATATATTTATTTTTTCTTGATATTTTCAGTTTTAAATTTGCTGAAAATCTCGAGGAATGTTTTTTAAATGAAAAAAATAAATTTTTTAACTAGTTTTCATAATGGTTTCAGAAGTAATTAAGTTTAACTTTGGGGATTAAAATTTACGTATTTTGTTGTAGGTGATGTGATAAATAATTTGTTGTAGTTGTAAAGCAATCAACTTGCTTTATTAGGCTGACTTGGTTATGCTATACTGTGTTAGTTTAAATTTTCTCCTGTGGTAAGCTTGTTTAGTTTTGGCTTGGTTATACAGTATTAAGTTTAAATAAGTTTGGTTATGTTAGGTTAGGGCAGGTTAGACTTGTTTACGTGCAGTTAAGCGAGGTAGATTTGGTTTGAGTTAAGTACCTACTAAATGTCGTCTTGTATTCCAGTACTATATGGATATCTGCCATTCATAAGTACAGTAATGGCTGCGAACAGCCGGCCACTTCTTACAGCTCACTATTGGTCCTGAATATATTACTAAGATTACAGAGCCATTTACTTGTGTTGAGATTTTTATGTTAATTTTACCTTACCTTATCCACATAAATACTGTTGTGAACAAGGGTGATAATGACAGTTAGTCAAGTAACGAAGAAAACGAGAATATATAGTTGTGCCTCATATGTATTGTTCCTTACTGCTATCTCTCTTGTTTCTCTCTCAACATGCACACAGCCAGATACATTCAGTAGCCACGGTATGTGAGAACAAAAATAGATTTCGATTTCTGAATTATTTGCTGTCATACCCACACACCTTAACTTTGGTGTGTGAAATTTAAACTTAAGTTCAGAATTATTGTTATCTGTGTACTGCTCCTAGACTACAGTAGAGCAACTGAGGTTAATGAAGGAGCTATATTGTACAGTATCAGAGTTTCAGTGTTGTTTCTGACGTTGGGGCCCCGGGGTGTTAGTAAGGTGATAGTTTTGCTGTTGTTCACGTCATGTGTGTTTGGGTGGGCTTCCACCATGATAATTCTGTGAATTACACTGTATTGTATATAAATTAAGTGTGAACGAGTTATTAATTTGATGCTGTTCTTTTGCAGGAGGTGATGGGTCGGTGGTGGGGGTGAGGGGGCGGTATAGGGTGTGGGGCAGGATGAGCCTTCCCCGGGACGTGCCCTGAGCCCCAACTGTCGCCCACGCCCGCCCCGCACCTGCCGCCGTCATGGCTGCTGACAGCGGCGTGCCGGGGCGGCGCTTCTTGTGCCGCGAGTGGGCGTGGGCCAAACTGTGGGCGTGCCTGGAACAGCGGCCTGCAGCCAAGACCTGCGGCGCTCTGCTAGTGGGTGGCCCCGGCACAGGCAAGACCGCCCTCTGTACTGAGCTGGTGATGCCCTCCGCCTCACATGGCCGCCATGCTACCGCCCTGCAGGCCCGCCTGATGGCACATCACTTCTGTCACGCTCACAATGCTGCCTCCCTCAGCGTAGGCTGTTTCATCCACTCCCTAGTGACGCAGCTGGAGCAGTCGCCCCTCATTGCCGGGTATGGCACCAAGGCAGGTGAGGCCGAGGTACGCGCTGCCCTTGAACCATGTGCTCTCCACGCCAACCCGGACGAAGCTTTCCGCCGAGCTGTACTCTTTCCCCTGCTGGAACTTGACCCTCCAGATCGCACCCTCCTCTTGGTGGTGGACAGTATAGATGAGACTGACCTGCAACCATCATTAACAGCCACCCCACGTGATGGTAATAATGCTGAAGTGGGTAACAACGGGCCCTCGCGGACCATCGCTGAGTTACTGGCCACACACCACCACCTGCTGCCTCAGTGGCTACTGCTGCTGGTAACAGCTCGCCGGGGCTCCCGCACTATCATCAGACAGTTTGCTGGGTTTAGAAAGGTTGCTCTGGATGACCTCCGTCGTGGTCATGTGGTGCGTGACGTGCAGCAGTATATCCTGTGTCGCCTTGACCGGGAGCCCGCCCTCAGGCATCATCTCTCCCGGGAGACTGCCGAGATGCTCAACCAACTCCACATCAAGAGCAATGGTTGTTTTCTGTACCTGGAACGTGTATTGGACGGTGTGGCCGAGGCTTGGGTCACGCTCCGTGAGATCAGACACATCCCCGGCACTTTAAATGGTCTTTACTTGTGGCTGTGTCAGAGGCTGTATCCTCGGAGACACTTCCAGCGTGTAGTGCCCTTGTTGTCCGTCATCCTTGCCGCCCGCGCACCCCTCACCAAGGAGGAGCTGCGGCTGGCTGTGGAAACACGTATTCCTTCACTGACAGATGAAGACTGGGGCAAGCGGTGGTCTCTCCTCACCCGTGTTCTTGCGGTGGAACACGATCAGCGGGTTCTCCTCTTTCACCACAGCTTCGCTGAGTGGCTGCTGGACGTCAAACATTGCACTCAAAAGTACTTGGTTGATGTGGGTGATGGCCATGCCATGCTGGCCATGCGTCTCTCCATTGATGCTCCCACCTTGACAGTGACACAAGTGCACCAGTTGGCGCTCCACCTGTCACGTATCCACCTAGAAGCTCCACTCGAGCAGTTCCATCTTCCGCTCTGGATGGTCTCGTGTGGTGTCCCTCTTGACATCTGCCAAGATCTGCCACCACCCAGGGACCCTCGCGCCCTCAAAATTCTTCAGGAAGCTGGTGCCACCCTGCCTGACGATCAGCCACAGGATGACGATGACGAAGATGAGGACGAAGATGATGACGAGGAAGATGAAGAAGATGAAGTAGAGGAAGGTGGAGAGGAGGAAGGACCCGCTACTGATATTAGATATGAGGAACTGGAGCAGGAAGAAGAAGTCGAGGATGGAGAACATGAAGATGGTGAAATGCAGGACAAATCGGCCCCGGATGAGGAAGCTGAGGGGCAAGTGCATCAAGATGAGAGTGATAAAATATCTGGTGATGTTGATAATATTCATATTAAAGAAAAATCTGTTGAGGAAGACAAAGAAAAAGACGATGAGGAGGAGAAAGTGAAACTGGAATTGAAACCGATACATGAAAAGAGTGAAAATGATGAAAATGAAAAAGATGAAAATAAAAAAGATGAAAATGAAAAAGATGAGGAATATGTGACTATGGTGCCTCTCCCCGGGGAGTTTGTCAATGGTAGTACAGGGGGGAGGCGCAGTAATGAAGGGGGTGTCAGTACAGGTGGCCGACAGAGTACAGGAGGTCGTCAGAGCACTAGTGGCCGACAAAGTACTGGTGGTCGTCAGAGTACTGGTGGTCGTCAGAGTACTGGTGGTCGTCAGAGCACAGGGGGACGGCAGAGCACAGGTGGACGCCATAGCAGTACTGGGGGGCGCCACAGCAGCGAGCACAGCAGTAGTAGTAGCCGACGACGGGAGCGGCGCAGAAGGCGGCACCGTGAGGATCCCTTATATCCCTATCTCCGAGGAGGTCCAGTTGACCAGGTAGATAGTGCCGGTCGCTCTCTGCTGCACAGTGCTTCCCATCAGGGCGATGCATCACTAGTGCGCCTGCTGCTGGAACGAGGTGCATTCCATGGTCTCCAAGATAGAGCTGGACAGACTCCCCTAAACCTGGCAGCACGCCATGGTCATGCTGAGGTGGTAGCTGTCTTATTAGCTGCAGGTGCTGACCCTGACCATGCTGATGCTGATGGATGGACGGCCCTTAGATCAGCAGCATGGGGTGGCCATAGTGGAGTGGTGAATGCCCTCCTAGCAGGTGGCACTCAGGTGGACCTCGCTGATGGAGATGGTCGCACTGCATTAAGAGCTGCCGCTTGGGGTGGTCACGAGGATGTGGTGTCATCACTCTTGCATCACGGAGCTGCAGTTAATAGAGCAGACAGTGAGGGCCGCACGCCACTCATTGCTGCTGCTTATATGGGACACTCTGAGATAGTGGAATCTCTACTGGAAGCTGGTGCAGACGTGAATCATGAGGATGTTGATGGGAGGACAGCACTGAGTGTAGCAGCACTGTGTGTACCGGCCAGTGAAGGCCACACCAGCGTGGTTACCACACTCCTAGAGTTAGGTGCCAAGGTCAACCACCAAGACCATGACGGCTTAACACCCCTCCTTGTTGCAGCATTCGAAGGTCACACGTAAGTGCTCATTATTCTCAGCTATTCTATAACATTTCTGATTGTTACAAAATTGTAAGGTTCATCTACGTTATGTCAGTGTTTTATGACGAGATTGTAGTCATTCTGTCATGAAATGTTTCTGTAAGATATCTCACTTTTCTATGCCCAATTAAATTGTGTTAAGGATGAAGTAATGTACAGTACTAAGATTATGGTTTTGTGGAAGAATTCAATGAATTCAAAGTGGAAGAGTATTCAAGCTTAACTATGGTCGAGTATTAACTTACAAAAGGTTTAAATATCATCCTTAAGGTACAGTATTTGTATACAATATGAGTATCAAGACCTTCATATTTAAATTTTCTTAAAAAAAGAGGAATAAAAGTGTTTGGCAGTTAATGACTATCAGTTACATGTGTACAGTTGAATGTGGCAGTTAACGACTGTCAGTTACATATACAGTATACAGTTGAAAGTGGAGTATGGGTGACGTGCCCAATGGTCACATATGATCATATTCAATGACACCAATGAAATGTGAAAGTGGGTCCCATAGGCCTGGTAGGCCATTGGGTACAGTATGGATACAGCACACTGTAAGCCTTCAGTACACAAGGAGGCAGATAATTGACACTGCACTCATCTGCCTTTTCTTCTCCAACTGTATACTCAGGTGCCCTTAGACGGCTGGGTGGACTGGGCATGTCTAGAAATTGAACCAGTAACTCACAAGACATCTGGCGAGCTCTGCAAACTTTAAATAAGAATGGTTATTGGTTTCATCTTCGCATTGTGCGGATGTTAGCATTTTTCTCGAGGGTTGATTTTTTAGAAGTACAGTACAGGGAAATTAAAAAAGTACAGTACAGTACAGTACAGTACAGTACAGTACTCAGATTTAGTGTTTTTATTGAATGAAGTACAATTTTTATTTTTACAAAAGAGAAACCTAGTTTTATTCATCAGAACTACGTACAAGAAAAAGTATAAGAAACACTATTTTTCCATCAAGTTTAATAGACCTAAAGTAAAAACACTTGATATTTTATTATTATACATGTACAGTATTTTTTATTACAGTAATGTACTGTATTTTGTTTATTGAAACACTTTTCCTTAACCTGCCAAAATATTCTATTTTACTCTATATACTTTGTGCTGTAGCCACCACTTGGGTGAAAATTAAACCAAATACTAATTCTGTAATTACTAATATTTTCACCCTAAAATATTTTATTTTTGTTTTCATGAGTCCTGCTTACAACCCACTGACAGGCCTCCCCAACCCATCCTTAGGTTCCACTGATATCAAAATTTTTAAGGGTTTACACAGACAGGCGGAGTTACCTGCCCGTACATACCAACCACATTTATAGTATAATAGATCCCCATGTTGTATCTTATGTAAAAGATAGTAACTACTGTACCTGTTACTGTGTAGGTACTGTGTGCTGTGAGGCTACTGCTTACAGTATAGGTTGACCTGTTCAAGGCTCATCTGCATTTTTCTTTTTGTGATGAATAAAGTTTCATAATCAGAGACCTCTTGACACAGCATTTATACTGTATAACCTTTTTCTATTAACAGACTATGGTAAAAGGTGGAACTGTACTTATTGTTTGTTCTCAATGTTTAAAACCAGACCATCCTTTTTTGTATGTACAGTAGTGTAGTGTGCTGGTAAACAATATGAAGCACTAATACATGGCATTCAATAAATTAGTGTACAGGTACAAGTGTTATATCATAGACATGTGATGCTTGTGAGCACATGATGCAAAATTAAGTTTCTAATATGTGAGATATTATTGCCTTAAAATTTGTCAATTGTCACACAGCGAGGTATGTGAATTGCTACTAGAGTATGAAGGGGATGTTGACCATGTGGATCGCTCTGGCCGAACTCCTCTGTTGGCTGCAGCATCCATGGGGCACGCTGCTGTAGTGGAGCGCCTGCTCTTCTGGGGCTGCTATGTAGACCATATAGATGCTGAGGGACGAACTGTCCTCAGTGTTGCTGCTGCCCAGGGATCACAGGTGAGTCGTTTGGTGTACTGCACTTCTTTCTGGTATCTAGCAGCCATAAATGTAAAGTTATTCAACATTACAATGCTGTATAAGATGTAATACTACAAGCAGCTGGTTTTAGTTTCTCTTCATGGTGTAAGCCTTTAAGGAAATTACAGTAATCCATCCACAAATCAGTACAGTACAGTACAGTACAGTACAGTACAGTACAGTACAGTACAGTACAGTACAGTACAGTACAGTACAGTCTTCTTGAATTTGGAATTCCTCATATTTCAGATCATTCTGGTGGTTCGAAAACTAGCATTAATATCTAATTAATTCATAATACCACACTACAGTATACTTGTATGACACCCTCCACTATAATTGTATGACACCCTCCACTATACTTGTATGACGCCCTCCACTAAACTTGTATGACACCCTCCGCTATACTTGTATGACACCCTCCACTATACTTGTATGACACCCTCCACTATACTTGTACGACACCCTCCACTATACTTGTGTGTATGACACCCTCCACTAAACTTGTAGACACCCTCACTACTACTTGTATGACACCCTCCACTAACATGCACACCTCCACTATACTTGTGACACCCTCCACTATACTTGTATGACACCCTCCACTAAACTGTATGACACCCTCCCCTATACTTATGACACACTAGCTTGTATGACACCCTCCACTTAACCCTCCACTATGACACCCTCCACACTATACCTTATGCACGACACCCCCTCCACTATGCTTGTACACCCCACTATACTTATGACACCTCCACTATCCACCTCCACTAAGCTTTGTGATACACCCTCCACTATACTTGGCCTACACTAATGTACTTGCGACACCTCCCTACTTGTATGCTTTTCCCTCCACTATGCTTATGACACCCTCCACTAAACTGACACCCTCCACTATACTTGTATTACTACGACACCCTCCCTATCTTGTATGACACCTCTACTATACTTGTATGATACCCTCCACTGTATGTACGACCCTCCCTATACTTGTATGGCCCTCCATTATGCAAACTTGTATGTGCACCTCACTATACTTGTATGCTTGTGCACCCTCCACTATGCGACACCCTCCACTATGCTTGCCGCACCTCCACCTTGTATGACACCCTCTACTATACTTGTGTGGCCTCACTATACTTGTGTGACACCCTCACAATACTTGCCCTCCACTGCTTGACCCTCCACTTACTTGTTGACACCTCTACTATACTTGTACATGACACCCTCCACTATACTTGTATGACACCCTCCACATCCACTTGTGTGCTTGTGTGACACCCTCTCTACTATGCTTGTATGACACCCTCCACTATACTTGTATGACACCCTCCCACTATGCATTCCTCCACTACTTGTATGACACCCCTCACTATACTTGTTGACACCCTCTACTAACTGACACCCTCTACTATACTTGTATGATACCTCACTGTGCTTATGCGACCCTCCCTTGTCAGCTTGTATGATACCCTCACTGTGCCTTGAAGCTATACTTGTCTGTATACTTGTATGGCACCCTCTATTAACTTGTATGACATCCTTCACTAAACTTCCTTGCAAGAAATTATTTCCTTGATAATATTTTCAGTTAAGTAAATTTAATGGCCTTAATGTATTTTTGTGTAATGTACTGTACAGTACTGTACTTAATATAATTTAAAAGTTTATACGAGTAGGCAGTAAATTTGCAAGTAACAGAATAGATAATTTTAGTTTTAGAAGTAGTTTGCAGATTTACATAATATTTTATCCTAGTGATAAATAAACGTAAAAAAAACTACGGCATTGCATTTCTTCAATCCCTCTGTCTTTCTGACTGTCTATCTGTTTGTCTATCTATTCTCAGATTTAGTTACCAGGTACAGTATTGGACACAAACCGATGAAGAATATTTTTATCAAACTTGGTTGTGTAATGCACATTAAATGGTGTTTAAATTAAATAATTAATAATTGCCGAATGGCTGTGGCACATTGTCACACAGTACAGTATGACACTGGTGGGGTACTATTTTTTGTAATTTTCACCATTTATCAGCTTACCAGTACTAGCCATTTGAGCGGTTGGTGTATCCAGTGTTAGTGCAGGAGGACCTCATAGTAAGGGAAGCCTGTGATGTATGGTAGGTCACACTGGATAACCCTTGACATATTGGTGCTGATACATGCATTATTGCTTGTACAGTAATGTACTGTTCTTGAATCCTTGTTGTTATCATCGTGAGAAGTAAATTTTAATATTAATTACAGTATATATATCATCTGTTCTCTTACAAGAGATATGAAAGCCCAACAACATTTCAGAATCTTTACATTATTATATTTTAAGTTTTATGATGGTTTTATTTCAGGAGACAGTGCGGCTACTTCTAGACAGAGGTTTAGATGAAACTCATCGGGATAATGCAGGTTGGACGCCGTTGCATTATGCAGCATTTGAAGGTCATTGTGGGGTGTGTGAAGCCCTCCTGGAAGCTGGTGCACGTGTTAATGAAGTAGATAATGATGGTAAACATGCATTAGTGTTGGCCGCACAAGAGGGCCACACTGCTGTGGTTGCAGCTCTTTTAGATGCTGGGGCAGATATTCACCACACTAGTCATGATGGACGATCTGCTCTACGTGTAGCAGCACTTGAGGGGCATAAGGATGTTGTGCATCTTCTTCTCTGTCGAAGTGCTGACCTTCACTACAAAGATGCTGATGGTCGCTCAACGCTTTACCTCCTTGCCCTTGAAAATCGTCTTGATATGGCAAAATTTTTAATGGAGAATAATGCAGATGTTGAGAGTACAGACCTAGAAGGCCGTACGCCTCTCCATGTAACAGCATGGCAGGGTCACACCCGTATGGTGGCTCTATTACTAGATGGGGGTGCTCATGTTGATGCTGTGGATAGAGAACGCCGGACACCGTTACAGAGTGCCGCTTGGCAAGGCCATGCAGAGGTAGTGAGATTGTTGCTAGAACGTGGTGCCACAGTAGATCACACTTGCTCACAAGGTGCTACAGCTTTGAGCATTGCAGCACAAGAGGGACACGAAGAGAGTGTTGCAGCTCTTCTTCAATATGGTGCAAACCCAGCACATTCTGATCGTTGTGGTCGAACTGCAATTAAAGTGGCCTTGAAAGGTGGTCATATTCATCTTGCTCGCATGCTAGAGGAGAGCATGGCGGTGCATGGTGGTGCTTCACGGGGAATGGCAGCCTCTTCATCAGTAGGCTCAGGATCAACTGCAGAAACAAAACCTTGCTCAGCATTATTGTGTCCAGGCCTAGCAGCTTCACCAGCTGAATCTCCAGAATCTACCTTTGAGAAACGCCGCTCAGTTGCCTCTCTTGGACAACACTCTTCTTCCAAGTCTTCAGGCAATCTCACTACCTCGACTCGCTCTTCGGGTGGCCCCAGAGCTCCCACACCCCGTGAGGCTCATGCTCATCTTCTTCTCCAGCACCAGCAACAACCACCACCACCACCTGCACCTTCTGCACCACCAGCATCTGCCATGTCTCCAGTCCTCAGTTTTACACAGCAGCTTCAACAGTGTGGTCGTGGACGTGGTCGGCGCCATCCCCCGCCACCCCAACCAGCGCTCACTCCTTTAGATGAACCAGCTTCACCAATTTATGCCTCTCCACCACTATCACCACTGAGTGATGGTCCTGGTGGAGGACGACATTTACCAGCTGGAGCCATTTTAGAAGATGACTACACTGTTCCAATTCAGCACCCAGCAGGACGAGCACCAAGACCATCTGCCCCCCCTGTCAATATTACACCAGAGGTAACTGCTGTAGTAACTAAATAATTAAATCTCTTGAATGTTGAACTTTGTGCATTCAGCATCGCAACAGAATTGAATAATTCAGTAATGTGAATTGATAATGCTGACAAATGGTTAACATTAATATTATTATTATTTATTTTTATTTTTTTTTATTTTTTTTATACAGGGATTAGCCCACCCGGGCACAGGTCACTGACCCACATCGGGGCCTGGGGGGCGAAAATGTGATGATGATAATAATAATAATAATAATAATAATATTACTGTACTATTAATAATAATAATAATAATAATAATAATGATAATAATAATAATAATTCATAGTAAATAAAATTTGTGATACAAATACAAAATTAAAAATAAATTAATAATTTCAAGTAAATAAATTTTATAATAAAAATTAAAAATTAAAAATAAAATAATATAAAATAATAATGATAACAATAATAATAATAATAACAACACTGTAATAATAATAACAAAGAACCATAAAGAAATATTGTACAGAAATGAAAAAAAAAATCAATAGCGAGAAAAGATGTTATGTTGTGTTGTCTAAATAAGAGAAAAAATTGAGACCCTGCAATTGTGTGTAAATGAGGCAGAAAGTCAGATCATCAACCTGAGGGGTCTGCCATTAGACAATACATTATGCTTCCAATATCTTCCCAGGTGGTAGTACCTCCCTGTTTGGTAGCTGCTTTTGAATATGTTGAGAGTGTCTGAATTGCAAAAGGTGCTGTCAGAGGCAGTGAAGGATTATTGGCTTGACGCTAAAGTTGGGGGTGGTAACTTTAGTGTTTGGAAAGTGACCATGAATGTTTTGACATCTTTTTGATAGATCAATTATGGAATTCATTTTAGTACAGTAATAAAAAAAAGAGAACCTAAATTGAGAAAGGAGGAAAGAGAGTGGAGGATGGGAGGCTCTATGAAGATGACTTTGTTGATAATATAGAAGAGCTGTTGACATTGTGGATCATTTTGAGAGAAAATGTTGGAAGAAATTTAATGAAAATGCTGTTACTGTGCTGTGCTAATTTCTAAATGTCATCTTTTAAATATATCCATTTTTACACACTTTCAGATTGGTCGCCGTGTAGGTGTTCCAGGCCTGGGAAACATACCAAGTATGGGTGTCAGTGTCCCAGGAGTACCTGGAGCTGGATCACCAGGCTCCTCTGGCTTTACCTTTACCCAGGACCAACATATGCGCATTATCCTGGGTACTCGATCTCCTGAGCCACGCCCACGTCGCAATGGAATAGTGACCAACCCAAGCCTTAAGGCTGCCCATGCCAAGGCCGCTCACCTTCTAAGGAACGGTTTAAGTGGCCGCCCAAGACCACCACCAGCCAGACCTAATGGTCTCCCGCTCAAGAAAGAAACTCCACTATGACCGTATGTTTCTGGAGTGTTAAGTTTGGTTGACAGTGGGTCCCATAGGCCTAACAGCTTGTTAAAGATAGTGCAGATACATTACACTGTATAATAAGCCTTTTTTTAGGTACACAAGGAGTTATTCTGCTTGTCACTACACTTGGCCACCTTCTCTTTCCCAACAATACAATTAGGTATCCATTCATAGGTGGGTGAACTGGGTGTGCTCCAGGTACAAACCAGCAACTTTTAGGACAAGAAGCAAGTTTGTACCACACCACATAACTTTGGTAAAAAATCTTTAAATAGGTATTGTCCATCAAAACTTTCCATACTGCTGCTAACTCTTCCTTGTTATATTTTACTGAGCATGGCAAACTTGCATCATAGTCACGTACTGTACTGTAGTAGACTTGAATTACTTGGTATAGCATTGATGATCAAATAACTTAAAGGAAAAGTTTGCCTATGAATTAACTGATATTGACAGTTTATAATGAAGGTTAAAATATATTGTTGCCATTTACTGTATACTACAATATATACCCCTGTAATCTACAATCCTTCATGACTGCAATATATTTTTTCGTAATGTTCTCTAACTAATAATTTTTTTCAGAAAGATGAAAACAGATTGCGGTAACCCCCTACCATGGCACCAAGGATACAACTGAAGATGCCAACTGTCACAAAACATAGCCACTTCTCAACAAAAAACACATATATCTTCGTGTTCTGTGGTGTCCTTTAAGCTGACCTCCTTGCAGCACATATTTGAATAAATGGTACAGTACTTTGATATTATACTTATAAATTTTGTTTAATTATTTTACTTTGCTTTTTAATGTGAATGAGGTCATTCTAGTTGGAAATTGTGTAAAGCAAGTCACTGGTATATGCTGTGGATGCATTCTAAAAATCTGCATCATTGTCTGAACTTTACTGCAGATTATAGTGTTATAAAGCAAATCAGCACAGAACACTAATGATATGCACAAATAGACAATTTAAGGAACAGAGTTATGTGGGTAAAGTACTCATCAAAATCTAGGGCAAGCTGCATCTGTGTCTGCATTAGTGGCTTTTCCAGTCACAGAAATGTTATGAAGGTTAGCACACTGCTTAACCCTTCAGAACCAACCAGTGCTTGCCATACTCTCCTCCATATCACTCAGTGCACCATCATCTCCTTTATTTACCTATGAGTCTTTACCCTTCATACTACATAGTGCAATTCCTGGAGTCAGATTATACTTACTAACCTTTAATTTTTCATTGTAACACACAATGGTTAGGACTGTGGTAGGTAGCATGACTTGCATCTACTGAACATTCACCCCACTCCCCACATTTGCAGGAGTATTTGCAATATGTTTTCCATTCTTGGTTATGGATTTCTTGGAAGTTAGTTGCCAAAATACCATACAATAAACACAAAGAAACACTCAACTTTGACTCCAAGACAAAACACCTGATAATGAGACAGACAAAGCAATGCTGTGCATTACATCCAGTGAGGAGGAGCAATATTGTCATATCTACACTAGTGGGTGGATGGGCAATGCAAAGTTGTTGCTTCTGCATTGGAAGACAGATGGTTAAGGCTGGCACCACACTGGCACACTTAGTGCATGATTTAAAAGGAAGTTATATTGATCTAGGAACTTATATTGGCCAGAATGTTTCCTGGATTATATTTATCAAGTGGGTTGTTTTGTTCATTTCCTTGTGTATATGTTCAAGCCACAATTGTTATCATCTACCACATACAGGTTCTCTTCCTTCTCTCATCATCAGCGTTTATGGCCATTTTCCACGCTTGCAAGAATGAAGCTCACAGTGCTTAATTTTTTTCCAACTGTTTTGCACTGTGAATTTATGTGGGAACTAAGCAGTATATTACAGCTTAAAAACAATATAGTATGCTAAAAATAATTGGTATTAACCTTATGTATGTTTGCTACTCTTCATAACTTAACACCAAGAGGTACAGTATTTTTTGTGTTATGAAAAAGTAAGGAATGAGTTATTAGGATCAATGAATATTAAGTGATTGCAATATACAATTCTATTGTATCGTATTCAGATAACTGTAATATAATTATCTTTAATTACTGGAGTTTGAAATTGAAAAAATTGGTTTATTTTAGAGAAAATGTAAGACCTCTCCCCACAACTGATGTTACTTTGCTTTATATCTCATTTTTTATGTACCTGAGTGAGAAATATTTCACTTAAAATCTGAGGAAGTATTACCCATTTGATGGTTATTTCTTGTGAAAATATGCCATTAACATAAAAAAAAAATTTCAGGAGCATCATTCGGAAAATTACTCTTTCTCATAAGCTGTATTCTTAATAAATGCCTTTATTTAGATGTCAGAGTCAGTGCTAATACCTAATATAATGTCATCCTCCACTTAGGTTTGTGAGACATTCATTATACAACCGCTTATGTTTTTTTTAAATGTTGTGAAAAAGTATTTGTGCATTTCATGATTTTTTCTGTCCAGAAAATGTCATTAATATTAATTTGTAGCTTAGGAGCTTCACTCTGGAATTTTTTTTGGTTGGAGTTGTCCTTTGAAAAGGAGACATTCATTTAAAATGATATACTGTACTTACAACTACCTACTGTACAACTGTACGATTTGAATATTTCCCTAAATTTTAAGATGTTTTAAATTTGCTCTTGTACAGTACCGGGGGTATTTTACTATTTTGCAGATAGTTTAATTTAGATGGAGCATAGTGAAAAATACTTATTTCAAATATTTTCTAACAATTTAGTTTTTTCTATGTTTTGGGGGTTTTCTTATTGAACATACAGTAGTCTAGATTGCATTTGGTGATGTAATGCAAACTTATTTTCATTACAGGAAAGTTGTGGCAAAGAAGGAAACCACAAAAGATATACAACTACTACAGGTACAGTGAAGGAAGAAGAATTAGAAAACACACATTATGACGTATACAAATGTACTGACACCAAAAGATGTTCCAGATATATATGTATGATATATCTGTAATGATGGTGATGCAAACAAAAAAAGAAATGTTTACTGTGTTCAGGTTTCCTTTAGCAATGGTAATATGACTGTTGAGTGTTATATACAAGTTTAATATGTTAAGTGACAGCATTGGCATCTTCAACTGCCTGGGTAGTGTGAAGTTTGAGAAAATCTGGCAAGAAAATATTTCAGTGAGCAAACCTCAAAAGTTTATCTTGTTTGCAAGAAAAAGTCAGTCAACCTATTTGGTGACTTTAAACTGAGATTAGTGACATTACTTTTACAGGGAAATTAATCAAGCTTTTGAAGGTTATTTTAAGATAGCCATTAATGCTGTATATGGACCAAGAGGAAAATTTTGGGTTCAGTTCTGTTATATTTAACTTGATTACCTTGTGCAAACACAACTTTTACTTTTCGTGGCACATTACCGTCCCTGGTGCCAAGTTAATAACAGAACTCGAGCAGTGTTTTAACGGCTAAGCTGAGACCCCCCACACCAAAGTCTGCAAGGCTGTCAGTATGGGAGCTTGGAACCCAGGCTAATAAGTGACTGCTTTAGGCACTTTTTTTTTTATAAAGAATACATTACTGTACAGTACTACTATTGTTCTCTTATGAGTCTTGACAGTTATCAACTTGTATGTCAAGTCAGTTTTTTCCGATGGAATATATAACACTTGACTTATAATGAGTTATACACATAGTCTCTGTTCTCAAGTACAGTATTTAATATTTTCGTTTTCCCCTGTATTGTGATAATTTTTCCCTATATTCATGAGTATTGGGATTTTCTCTTATTAAATGTGGGTCCCAAACTGCCATATGAACATGTCAAAGTATGTTTTATTGCTGTTGTATCCTATGTGTATATAGCGGTGCCCTGTACTAGTCGTGTAGTTCGCTGTGTTGTACTACTCATGTGCAAATGTAAAAAGTGTCCTCACCTTGCACATGTACAGATTAGCAATGTAAACCTTAATAAACATTTACAGTGTGTGATGTAATAATGTACAGCTCCATAACTGTATCATTTACTCCTGGTCATTGAGCAGTTATTGGTTGGTATCCAATATGATGTGAGAATACTTTTGTTGGATGCACTTATCAACACTGATTTACTGGCTCCTGATGCTTCTGCATTAAAGAGGGAGTCACTCTAACTCAGCAAGAAAGCAATAGAGTATTTTAATTCACTTTACCACATGCTTAACAGGTTTAGCCATAGTTGGTCCTTCATGCTTTTGCCTTTATTATCTTATCTTCAAAAGTATGTTACAATTTTATTTTGAGGTACTTTGTTTTTGGACGTATGATTATCAGTAAAATGCACAGCTGCTCTGTATTCTCTTATAAGCTTGCATAAAAAATCAGCCAGGTGTTAATTTTAGTTAATACAAACTATCGGCATACTGAAAATGCATTAAAGTATCACCCGCACTTTTTTATATTCAAGAATTATTTTATGTTTCTATAATGTATTTTCACATATATGAGTGTCAGTAAACTATACAGTTAATATTACAACATATCCAGTTTATTGATAAGTGTGTTGGGAGGAAACAACTTGACCTCAGTGACTTTCCTGAGAACTGTATAACCCTCAGGTATTGTTAATACACATGATGTTGATAAACAAGTACGTAGTTTGACCTATTGGACAGAAGTATGAGAACACTATAATGTAATTAAAGTATTGTAATACTACTTAAGTATTAATGAACGTTTATGTTACTCCTCAGAAATTTTTAATTATACTTGAAGAACAACCAATGAAGCATATAATACAGTACACATACTTCTGCAATTGATTATTTCTAATATTAATATTATACAAATATATTGTAATGGCATACCTTAAAACCCCTAGGAAGTGAATAACATAGGGCTCGAGCTGTGTGTACCATATGACTTTGTATTTGATGCTTGGGCAGTCTTTTTCTTGATATTTAATAATCTGCACAGTTTTATATAGTGTTGCTGAAGTGCTATCAGTAGGTGAAGGAAGTACATGTTGAAAGAACCAGCTTGGTATGTGTTGATGAGGATAGTATAAAATCATCATGATTAAGTTGATGAAAATGTATACAATCAATGTGTTTGAAGTAACAAATATATCTGGAACTAGTAAAACTATTGAGGTAGTATATGTCTAGAACCATTATGGCTAAACTGCTGAAAAATGCCTATAACCAGCATGACTAAATATGCTAAAAACTTGCATAGAGCCAGTTAGAAAAATTTAACAGTAAATGTGAGGGATCAATATGACTGAGATTATGAAAACTGCTTAGAACCAACATGATGTATAATTTTTTTACAAATAACATTAATTAATACATGAACAAAAATGCCTAGACCCAGAATGACTCGTGTAATAATAAGTGTCCAATACCAATGTGACTAAAAGGATAAAATATTTCATGAAAAAAGCTGAATTTCTTTTTAATTTAAGATTGGGGATGATAACACTGGTGACATGGTGGAAATTACCCATTTTTGTTGGTATAAAAGATTCTTTATAATGTTCTCTCTCTAATTTTATTTGTATACCTTTTGATATACTGTACGTATCTGTGAATGAATTTTGAATGCATAGAAGACACAACACACTAATGGGAAATGATTGACAGATACAGGCCTAAGAATTTCCATCAGGTCGTGGGCTTCTAACATCTTCATAGCAGCTTGGTTATTCTTGAGGTTAGTGCAAATCCAATGTTAAACATTGGGAGTGGCAGGCAAGGGTGTGACCTGACAGTCACATACATAAGAATTTCTAAAGATAATTTAACATTATCGGAATGGATGGAAACCCTACATGTGAGCCATCACCAGGGCAGAGTAATTATTGAACTAGTTGATGCTGTTACTATACTTAAAATTACTGTAATGTAGTCACCACTGGAGACTGTCTCATGCCATTGTTTTCTTTAACTTCTGAAAAACCACATAATTTTCTTTAAACTTCAAGGAACCTTATTACCATTGCAATAATTAGTCAATTTTGGAGTTATTTTGAAGGACACACAGAGACAGGACCAAAAATAATACCATGAAGTGCAGTGTAGGCAGGTAAAAATAGTTAAATATATAGGAGAAAGAGATATATGTCACCAGCCCAACCAAAACTAACATACAATTTACCCTCCTTTAGATCCAATATGGACAGTAATGCAGGAACATAATGCATTAAGAGCATTGAATACTGAAAAATAGGAGAAAGCAATTGTTTACTTTGCTCACGGACATGAATTGTCTCACCCTCAAGACCAGTTGCAGGTGAATAAAGGGCCTGGGGAAGTTAGCTAAACTCCTTATATCTCAACAATAATAAGACTTCAGTTTATAAGTAGGTACTTGGTGTGGCGTCATCTTCCAAGTGCATTTATGTGGCCATGACTTGGGTGCTTATTTATTTTTGTAATATGCTTTATATCAGTACCGTATGTGTGTCATTAATTTTGATGTCGATGAATTAAAGAAGTTGCTTATTTGTTTATTACTGTAGTGATTTGCTCTCAACTGTTGACAGTAATCTTGTAATAGAGCTTTTTTTTTTTACTGAATGGAAAATGGAATGTACAGTACTCGTACAATTTTGCATGTTTATAGGCATAAATATTACCTCTCCTAGCTGTACTATACATTGTCACAGGGTGTCTTTTTATTGAAATCTTCCTGCGAATCTCTATTTGTTGTAAAAATTTGGTCCACAAAATTTTTTTGCATTTGTGTTAATACTTGTTTAAAAAACACATAATGTATAATCATTTACCAAAAAACAATAACTTATTATTAGAATATCTATTATATACTGTACCTTGTAATAACCAGCTACATCGTCATAGAAACCTGAACTTGTTTACTCAATACAGGACTTAAAATTTAATATAAACTCATTGTTACCTTTGTTTTTATAAAAGCTCGGTTCTAAATAAATATTTAAACCCACAAATAAGCTGGTAAAATTATTAAATTAAATTTATAGAATATAAAGAGCAAAATGGATATTGCCATACTTTGTTAAAGTAAAATGTATACAGTACTTTTTTACTTTAGAATTCCAGAACTTCCCTCTTACCTGAAGTTAAATAAGTCATCTCTAGGTGTCCTGAAACAGGCAGCTTGACCTCTGCTTCAACTTTCTACACACAGTTTTGTCTTTCTTATCAAAACCTTAGTGCCATTTTCCATTGTCAGTCTTGGCTATCCAGTTGGAATTCATTACAGTTTCCTGCACTGAATCAGCATGGATAAATGTCAGGCCATTCCAAAAATCTTCATCTGTCAAAGTTTTATCTTCAAATTTATTGGTGTGATTTGTCAAATTGAGTCATATATCTCAGTACTGTACCAGAGATTTAATGATACTTTCAACTAAAATCTTGACCATTGAGGTGGAATGAAATGGACAGTCAGTTCAACTCCCTCATAAATTTTAAGAAATGAACCAAGAAAATTCTTTGAAACTTGAGCCAATGATTGTCATCATTTCTTTAAACTGAATTATATACAATATTTACTGTACTAATCAAATGTAAGAAACTGGGGAGAACTGTGTAGCCTTATCATTTACTGTACAGAAATACAATAGACAGAAATCATAGCATTTGAGATTTAATGGTTAGAACACTTGTACAGTTTATAGGCAAAACAATTTGTACCTTATGTGGGTCAAAACAAGCTAACTAGAAAACTCATGGAGTAGGCTATATACTGACAAAAATAGTGGCAGTGCAACTACAGTATATGTACAGTATAGCTTCAATGCCAAGCATCGGTGATTTTTTTGTTTTTTACACCTTTGTTTTGATAACTTTACAATAAAACATATTGCTGTTACTCTTAGCATGTCAACATATACAATACTATGGGTGTTTCTGACTTCAATAGTGGGTTACAAATACACCAATTGCCTGTTATTTCTTGTGAGTTTTGTGAACTCCAACATTTCACAATGGCTTGGGTGGAACTAATTTACCTCACATATTAAACATCTCCGTACATCATCACACAAACCGTTTAAATACTGTATTAGTCTTTCATAAATAAGTACCAATAAGTTCCATGGGAACTATAAGAGTGAAAAATAAATTTTTGCATTCTGTAATTTAATACAATACATTTAAATTTTCTTTCTGCTCATTACACCTTCCTTCCTTTGTTCCTGTGAGGCTAAAATTTTATTTGGATAACATCTGCCAAACCACCTTAGAAAAAGACACCCTGCTTTATCAGAACTCATTGTCTTCTAACCTAAACCCTGTAAGGGGGCCTAGGCTGGCCCCGTGGACTCTTATTATTTCAGGTTTTTCCATATTTGCTCTTTTCAGGTAAACCTATAGGGTGTTAGAGGAAGGGCAGTGGAGACTGTCAGAATTATAGTTCATTTACTTGTCTTATCTTTTAAGCCACATTAAGTTTGAGGTTTAAAAGAAAGATTGTGTTCTGTAGACAGACTTTCCTGCGATGGTGCTTGGTGGCGAGATAGGTGCTCATCCCCAGATTCTTCAATTTCATCAAAACCACATAAGAAATGAATTCTTGTAAACATTGTGAAAATGGCACCAGAATGGAAAGGTGAATTGGATTTCCCAGTTGGAATAAAAAACACATGTGTTATTACACTTGATTAATGTCTGTGCCTGGTGGAAGTAGATGGTCCCTTTTTGTGTGGGTGAACAGAAAACTTGTAAATCAGTATTTTTGTAATTTTAAAGATTTTTTTTGCTTTCATATTGGTTTTCTATTTCAATATTTAATGTATTTTAGCACAACTTAATTTCTTAACAAGGGAACACCAAGTACAGTATGTTATAAATGAAAGATATGCAGAACATCACCTTCCCCAAGATCCTTACTAAGCAGTGAATACCCCCTTTCTTTTCAAAGTTTTTACTCAATGCCAATATTGGTCAATACTGTATTATATGTTATATGACCTAAATAAATAAATATGTAGTATAATTAAAAAATATGCAAATTGTTAAGAGTACTGCACTGTACCCTATTTCTGAATTATTTTAAGTTTGTCACATTGGTCTTTATTATTTATCTATTTACATCAGTACGTATAACCAATCTTCACAATCAGAAACTCACTGTTATCTATACATGTTTAGAAGACGTGTATCAGTTGTTAGTCAGGTGGGAGTTGTAACATCTCATGATCTCCAACCTTCCAGCATCAAAGATCTGGGAGAATTGTTTCAAATATTTACAGAAGTTTTTCATGTTAGTTTGGCTGTCACATTTTAATAACATTGTTATACATTTACCAGCTGCATGAACACAGGAAATGATAAGGTGTTATGAGACTATGAGGGAGTAAATTCTCAAGTGTGAATGAGATTTAGGTATGTATATGAAGGACAGGGTGGGATTTACAAACGTTTTGCTGACTTCAACCTCAGTCGGATCTGATTGTGACCAAAGAAAATACATTAATGAAGGCAGTGAGAAAGAATAATCAATATACATCCTTCAGAATTGTTTCCATGGGTGTCCAAAGTTAACCAGTTATAATACCTTGCTGAGCATATCATAGTGTTAATATTTAATGAGAAACTATCTCTTGCAGAATAGTGAAATGGTGTCACCTCATTCATTGCCTCAACTTTTCTGAAATGACATCTATTTTTCAGAATAACTGTACAGTATTGTACAGTACTGCACTGTATTTTGATTACAGAAGGTTCATGGAGACTTTCTTGAATACTTTATTCAACTTTACATTACAGCTTGAGAGATCTTTTTTAATGCTTAAAACATTGCAGTAGAAATTTTGTAAGTTGGTTTGATTATTAAAACAACAGTTGCATGTTGTTTAAACCAATAAGAAAAGTTAATATGATGTATGGAAGAGTTTGACAGTTTCTTTAAGAAGTACATTACCTAGCACTGTACTGTACCACACATGAAAACATGAAAGAAGGAAAGTTAACTAAGAGATTATTTACCACTGTTAGGTAGCCTGGAATTTGGGAATGTGTAGTTGATACTCCAAGTTGGACTACTGTTTGCTGTGTAATGGGAGAATGATGGCCAAAAGTAGGAGCCTCATCCTGTTGACAGCCCCAGCACTCCTCACACTATAGTGCTTCCATGGCCAACTGAATCCAATCAATCTACTAATTACAGGTTTTCATATTACATACAGTATTTTACTTAATATAATTCATTTCTGTATTTGTTAAAAGTAATTATTTACTATGACTTTTCTTAACTACTCAGCACCAACCAGAAAACAACTGATCAATGTACTGTACCAAGGTCCGTATCATTTGGAGATGTGTTCTTTTTTGTATCTCCCACACACACAAATTTTAATATGTTACTGAAAACTGACAGGGCTATGAGTAACTGGACTCACTATATGTCATGATAACCCAAGTAATAATTATGATATTCAATTTACATTATTACCATAGTTGACTTTGTATGAAATGTCAAACCCAGAGTTCCCCCTCATGTCAACCTAACAGCTGTTGGTTAACATCTGATATCCATGCTCCATAAGTGCATTTCGTGAGGTAAATTCACATAAAGTTCACATGAACTTCGTTTTAATATAAAAATGCTGAATTTTATGCTATGGAAGTGTATTTACGTAAGTAGTTTTGCTGTACAGATTTCCCTTGTATTTATTTTGTACACTTTTGTATTTAAGTATTGCTTTGTATCCTACATGTTAAATGTAGTAGTTAGCGTTAGCTTATCTTTGGAAGTTGAGGCCAGCTTTAATATCTTTATGTTATGGTCTGTGAGTGATCATGAACCCAATTTGACTGCTGAGTCCAGACAATTGGCTATGAGGCTTAGGGGAATGCATTGTGTTGAGATACTGAATTACACCGTTTCTTTAGTACTCATAGTCTGAATGACCACATGGCATACAATACAATGTTGCTCTCTCATTGAAACTTTGTGCAAATTATGTTTTAACAACATATTCTACATTATCAAATAAGTGGGTAACTGTGTACTTAGGCAGTCCTTACTATTGATTCATTCATTTACTGATAATGAAGATACAGTACAGTATATGATAAATAGTCTTCACATTCAATCTCCATGGACATGAAGTATCATCCTTTGTATCTTTGCACTAAATGCTGGGGTTCATTGCTATAAAATGCTCAAGCTTCTTATTTAAGCACATTACATGATTATAGTTTTGGTGGGAAAATGGGTACACAACCATCTTTTTTCAGGTGGGTTATACTAGGAGTTTTGGTACTTGTTGAAAATAGTAATACTGTGTACTTAATAAATTTATGACAAAATATTTTCATACTCATGAATATAATTTCTTTTTCATCAAATTAAGTTTCTAAATTAATGAGTACAGTATTTTCCATCATAAGTAAAATTTTTATAAATATTGCATGACACACACACACACACACACACACACACACACACACACACTCCATGTTGTGTTTCTAAGTTTCACAAAAGAAAAAAAAATATTTTAGGAAATTATTTTCTGTTTATGAAAATAAAATTTTATTTACTCGTCTGATATTTTTTGTCATATAATTGTATTAAGCATGCATTGTTATTCCTAACAAGATTTTCATGTAGTATGTATAATTTTTTATTGTTGACATCAAATGAGAGCAAAGCAGTTTATTTTCACAATACACATGTGATGGCTATATTTTATCTTCAATTTGAAAGAGACTGTGCATTCTTTCAGGATGCTGAATACTCAACTGTTTGGATTTTTTTTCGTTTATTCTGATAGTAATGTCACAAGTAAATCACATTTATTACATCGATAAAATAAAATGAAGATTTGTTCTGTTATCAAAGTTCATTAACTATATAGGTTCATTAGTGTATAGGAGTGAATGTCTGATCTCAAAATGACAAATGCCAAAAATAAGGGGGTTAACTCTGATGATTTTGCAGGGTAACTAAGATATTTTTGTAGTCATAATACTGTGAAGTGTAATTTGTTATCTTTATAAATTAAAACATTATTCAGAGTCATCTTTAAACTGTTTGGTTTCTATAACATGCACTCATTTATGCAGTGATAATATTAAAAGCCTTAGTACAGTAATGTCTCTTTGTTTATGTACCCTATGGCTGTAATCCTGTTTAACAATACACTATATTGTATATTGTTAGGCATTACTTGATGTAATTCCAAGAAAGAGTAAATATACAATAATCCTGTTGGCTATCTTTGTTTTACTACCAGCTATGGCTATTCATTGTCTTAAATACCCTTCATTAGCAGTAAGTAATCTTGTCTGACCCAGGATAGCTGAAGAGTGAGTGAATTTTGCAGTCGAAATTGGTGGAAATCATTCTAAATACTGGAGACCCTTAAATACAACAAGGGTTCACTTTCAGAGAGGTACCACAAAATGCCACACTACAATATTCAAAATTTCAACTTTACCTGAATAATGGGATTAGGTGCCTTTACTCTGTAGCTGGTGGATCATGGTTGGTGAAGGCTGGTAACAGTGATGGTGGCTGTAGGGGCTGTCAAACCTTTAACAGATCAATTTATGAGGATATTAATGTAAGGAACCCTTTTACTGTTCTTAAGAATTGTTACTTTGGTAAAATAATTCACTGTGTGTATCACATTTTATGTCTTAAGTCTAAAGGACGTTCCAAACTTACTAAGTTATAATTTAAAATAAAAACAGAAATACAGTACATAAATATACATGTAACGTATTGTACAGTATACACACACACACATATATATATATATACACATACACACACGCTTGGTATTAGTGTTTAGTACTATTATTATTTATATAAATGTCACAGTACGGCGGGCATGGGCAACCTGCAGCCCGCATGCGGCCTGAACCATGTCTTTGTGCGGCTCGCAGAGTGATTGGGAAATTCCATTTAATGTGGTCCGCAATTCAGGTAGATGCAGCCAGCTTATGGTGAGTAATGCAATATTTATAAAAAGAATAATCTTCACACACAATTCGTTACTGTTTCATCACCTCTGAGTAAGTAACTACAAAAAGGTAACAGTGAAAATAGTATAAATAGTCAACAATATTAACATTTTAACTTGTGTGAGTTTATGGGCCAAATTCGGCGTGGTATGACTTTCTGCCGATGCTAAGTGTATGCTTATGAACCGTTTGGTATGGGCGGCTGCTCTCACGTCTAAAAAAAACGTAAAATTACACCATATCATTGTAAGTTCTTTCTGTTTAATATAATGAGGCCCCTGGCTAGGAAGTTGGGTAAGGTTAGGTAGGTTTGTTCAGTTAGATTAGTGAAGTCTTCTAACAATGCTTTTACTGCTTGTTTTTCATATCAACTAAGGTTTGGTTCGGTTTAATTTAGAAATAACCACTTTTTAACACATTTACACAAACTACGACAGTGTTTGGAAGCATGTAATGTGTAATGGTAGACCCTGCTGCCATATGGCATGACCAAGTCCCAGGATGCTGGTTTTGTAACACTGGTCACTGTTTTATCTCGCCACTTACAGCCTGTAAGTGTTTTTTATGTTGCTAAAGGATGAGCAATCGGAGGCTGGATTTTTTTGACATCATAGCCTAAACCAACCAATAAATGAATAAAGAGTGACTTAAAAAATCAGTTCACACGTAAATGTCGTTTGTGGAACAAGCGAGTTCCAACTTCAGAAGTTTAAAGAATACCCTCACAAGAGACACTGCAGCCCTGCGGTTACCATAAGATTCTGTAAAGTACATGTATTTTCAAGGTAAGGAGAAACTTTTCTCTATACATAACGCTAAAAAAGCTAGTTTAAGTGCATAAGAACGGCAAAGTAATCAAAGTGCCCATTTTTTTACTTTTACTTTTATCCTCTTCACCACTGATTGGCTCGTTAGCCGCTTGGGCGATCGATCACGTCTCTGTTACGCACTGTTGGCAAGTACTGGGCATGCACTGGCTCCTGAATGTACCTGAACCTGCTCCAGTGTTGGTCAAGTCTGATCTTGAAAGACCTCACACTTTCTGGTAGATTGTTCCAAGAGTTTACATCCCTCACTCCGAAAAAGTTTGCCCTCACAGTTTTCTGGACTTGCGGCTTCTTCAATCTTGAGCTGTGACCCCTTGTGCGGCTAGCGTCCGCCAGCTCCAAGTAAGGACACTCGACTGAGTAGTGCCCCCTGAATTGCTTATACACCTCAACTAGGTCACCCCTTGCCCGTCTGTAGTATAAGCTATGCAGGTTCAGGTGCTCCAATCTCTCAGGGTAGTCGAGGTGCGGAAGTGCAGGCACCAGTCTGGAGGCCCTCTGAGAGATCGGAGCGCCTGAACCTGCCTAGCTTATACTACAGACGGGCAAGGGATGACCTAGTTGAGGTGTATAAGCAATTCAGGGGGCACTACTCAGTCGAGTGTCCTTACTTGGAGCTGGCGGACGCTAGCCGCACAAGGGGTCACAGCTCAAGATTGAAGAAGCCGCAAGTCCAGAAAACTGTGAGGGCAAACTTTTTCGGAGAGAGAGTTGTGAACTCTTGGAACAATCTACCAGAGAGTGTTGTGACGGCACCGAGTGTGAGCTCTTTCAAGACAAGACTTGACCATCACTGGAGCGGGTTCAGGCACATTCAGGAGCCGGTGCATACCCAGTATTTGCCAACAGTACGTGACAGAGACGTGACCGATCGCCCGGGCGGCTAACGAGCCGATCAGTGGTGAAGAGGATAAAAGAAAAATAAATGAAATGAGCTGGGGTGGGAAACATTTGTTGTGGCGTGGTTCCCCAGGGATCCCAGGCTTTGTTTTACCCTAATTTTTATACTTTACTTACTTAACCCTGTAACAAATTAACATTCCGGCTTTCGTTCTCATAAACTAATTAAGTAGGAGTGTTAGTCATTCAACTGCGTAAGTAGTGATTGCGTAATAATCATTGAAGGTCTCATACGTTCAGACTTTGGATGACTATTATGTTAGAAATGAAAATAAAATATGCGTGGAACTTATTGGCTGTTAGGGTAATACAAATTTGATGAAACAGTAAGTTGTCGAGATGTTATGATATTTCTACTGGCAAACAGTTTTTTTTACTCTGTTTGTTTACACATGTATGCTGCTGCTGGTGTACGATAGTAATTAAAACTAAAGCCATTATGGATTCCTCATCCCTGCTGCCACACACGAATATTCTAATTCATTCTAAGCATGAGCTTTTTTTTCGTTCATTCATAAGAATCTGCTTGTAATATGCCAAAGATTTATAGAATGTTAAGGTAATTTTGGAGTGTATGGTGGTGTGTGCACGGTACCAGGGTGAGGCAGAGCGAGCGACAAATGGAGTAACTCTTGAGAGTGCCAGTGTGTTACCAGACTCAACAACCTGCGAGGTAGCTCAACCTATTACATACTTTATCCTAAATGTAAATGATTACTTTAAATATACCGCCTAGATTCATTTCCATTTGTACTTGTGTTTAGACACCAACTGTAATATTGTCACCACGTAAAATACTGCGTCCGTTCTCTTGACCAAAATCTATACTGGCAATTGTAAATACGTGACTTACATGATACATTGTAGGAAAAGTGTGTTAGTAATTATTATTGTGTTCAGGGTTGTATTCACCATCTGGGTTAGTCACGCATAAGCTTTTAATATGCTTTGAATTTCGTTGCTCTAGATACATACAGTAGATCTAAATCTACACAGTACTTTATGTTGTACATTTTCTGTAGGGAGTAACACACAGTGCTTCTAGAAAAAAACTACCCTAATATATTGGGACAGTTTGTCAACTTAGCCAGGTTTACTGGAGGGTACACTGATAAAGAGCTCAAGTCATAGTTAACAGTGTGTCCTGTGTGACAGGCTTGTCTGCTATACATGCAATTTTTAGAGTTTTACTTAATCACTGTCATGATCTTTACTGGTATGTTTGTTTTAATGTGGGTAATTTAAATTGGGGGATGAGCAATAAAAAAATGAATATACAAAATAGGAATAAGATCATAAGTTAACAATTATCATTAGAGGAAATACTTCAGATGTCATGCACACCTAAATCTAGCACTTCATATTCGGGTTTTTCCCTCGTTTTTCCCAAGAATCAAGATGCAGCCACTTGTCCACTTTATGATGATGACATGTTTGCATGCCTGTTGACAAGTTCTATTCAGCAGTCAACTGACTGACCAACCTCAAACACTTCCATACAAACCTAGCTAACCAAACCTAACCTAAATAATATAGAAGTCTGCTGTTGCTGGGAAGCCCCACCACCATGTTTGTGTTATGTATCGTCAAACTAATAATACTGCATTACAAAAATTGCAAATCCTACTACTGTATTATTACTGTACAGCGTATTATGCATTCTTAATGTAAGAAAGAATAATTTTTGATCATCGTCTTTAGAAAATTTTTCCAAATTTGATGGGGCTGCTGTTGTTTCGGTAATGGTGGAGGAAACGATTAGCACCAGAAGGACTTTATGAAATTGCACCAAATTTTCAGCAGGTGTTGTTTGGATGCTAATAAGAAAATCGAAATGATAATGCACAGAACTTATTAGAACCTGACCTAACCTAACCTCACCTAACTTCCTAACCTGTGTATTGTCATCTCAATTTCGGCATTATTTTACTTTAGGACATAGTGCGCCCGAAAGTTATAAACTACTGAAACATTTAGGTCTCGCTATTCTGAGCATTTTGAATCTCATATATACGTTGCGGAAATGGATAATAACGACACAATTTAATGTAATTAATTTTACGTAGTTTTCAATCTTCGTTTTTGTGAGGAGATGTTAATGACGCATGCCCAATATTGACTGAAGTCATCCAGCCGTGGCCAATGAGGTATCGATATCATCACGCAAATTTTTTTTGACTAATCGTATTTGATTTTTTTCAAAGGAAGCATCCTGGGTAATTTCATTGACCAGTCTCACAATGGCTGTGGTGGAGGTTGGTTGTCATTTGTGCTTCTACGATTATTTTAAATTTATTGCCGAATCTTACGAGAAAGACGATCATTCTATCTAATTCTTACGTATCCCTGTATAATGAGGTTAAATCTCAAACGAAGAGGTAAGGTAGGAGTTTAGAGTCGTAGAGTGAGGAAAGTAGGTAGTGTGACCCGAGAGTGTGAAGATAATAATATATATTAACACAGGCTCGGTACAAGTGTAGTATAAAACACAAATGCGTGTTACAGCTTTATTTTACTAGTTCAGTAGGGGGGATTAATGGGGTTCGTACACAATATATAATAGACAGGTATATTCCTATAACCTAACAAGTAAAATGGGCACTTCCACTAAGTCGACTGTTGGGAAGGTTCAGGATCGCCGCGCTACTACCGTCTACACAGCCAGCACTTATTTTTACACGTTGAGTGGATTGCACACCGTCAATGGACAGGGCTGAGACCTCGTTGCACTTAGTGACAGACTTCTTCGATTAGACGACGAGCAGGAATGGGGGTGTGTGTTGCTGGTCCTTCGCGATTACATGAATAAATCATCGTGAAAGGATCTGCAGGGGTAGAAATTCACATACGCCCGGTTGCCTGAGGCAATTAAGATGCTTTAACCTATCTCTGTGCTCTTCCTCCTCTTCTTCTTCATTCTTCTTCTCTTCTTATTCCTCCTCCTCCTCCTCTTCTTCCTCCTACTCCCGGGTTGTTTATGTTGTACCTGGGGTCGTTAACTAAGTGTCCAGGTACACTTTGTATAAACCCGGTAAGTGCCAATATTTAATGTTTCCTGACAAATTGTTTAAGGGCTAGTAAAAATTTACAAGGATTAGTAAATTTTCAAATCTACTAGTCCTGCTGGCGACTATGAAAAAATGGGGAATTTCTACCCCTGAGCTGCAGGGCCTTTATTATTGGAGATCTCTAGCTGGCAGATGACCTCTCCCATTTAACACTAATCTGGGTGTGCCTAGACCTGCTGTTAGGTCAGGTAACAGAAGTGCTGGCTGGATAGCAGTTCCTTGACCTCCCTTGGGTCCGTTCTTTATCTCACTTTAGTCACTGTAGGGCGTGTCAACTTCCGCGGGTGAACACGTGCTCCTCTGGTTACTGCTAAGTCTATGTTATACTTCTGGCCTGGATGCTTTGGTCTGATGGATAAACATTATACCTGGTTCTTCCACTTCTAATTAAGGTATTGTACTTTCGGACATGGCGCGCCCCAAAGTTTTTAACTACTGAAACATTTAGAGGTTACCTTAAGCTAGGCCTACCGGGGTTCTGGGGTCAGAGCCCCCGGCTAGGGGTTAGGTTAGATGACTTGTTTTCGTTTTCTCCCCCATCCAAAAACCCCGATTTCCCAGACTCCCCCATTATTGTTTGGGGGGGGGGGAACGAGCAATTTCTGACAAAAATGAAGGTCAGATTCGTTTAAAATACACTGGAAAAACATATTGGTCAACTCCTAGGGACTCCTCTCCTAAAGTAGAAATTCACCCAATTTTCATACAGTATTGTCATCCAAACAACATCTCTAGAAAAATGAACAAATTCAATTCAATATAAATCGTAATAAACACGCTTGATGAGATTGTTGTTCATGTCTTGACATGTAAACAATGACCACAGATGTGCCTGTGTAGCAGACAATGTTAACCAAAACATGGTCGCCACAGGAGGTCTTACGGAGTCATAATTACGGGAAATAATTTATTTCTTTGCCTACAAAGCTCGTAGGTGTGAAATTAATGCCATTTGATCAGTGTTCACAATGTTTCTACCCCGTTATTTCCCTCTTCTTTAATACCTTGCCCACTAACAGGTAGCCAGTTTATGATTGAAGGACTGGCTAAAAAGAAAGAATAAAGTTACAACATTGTTGTTTCGATTTTTTCTTTACTCAGTATCATCCAAATAACAACTTCTGAAAATTTGGTGCAATTCCATAGTCCTGCTGGTGCTAACCATCTCCACCATTACCCATGTTTCATATTGAGTGTGCAACAGATTAGTGTTACAGTATTAGTAATGTTTATGAAATGTTTGGACTTGTACCAATATTTTATTAGGTACTGTAGCTGGTTAACCCAGACCCTTATCCTTAGATATTATTGTTCTCTGTAGAAGACGTTGTTGAAAAGACTGCAGGTAAAAGATGATTAAATGACAATATAGTAGTTTACAGCAGTGCCCTGTTTGCAGGAGTAGCTATAGGAAATAATTCTATTGAAGAAAATTTTTGTCCTATTTCTTGAATATCAAAAGAAGTTGGAGGAAATGTAACTTTCATACTTTGATTTGTCTAATTTTAATGCCCTCGACACTAACCTGTCATCCACCACCTCCATGCAGTGGCTGTTATTGATTACTTGCGAGAATGCTTTAAAACATACTTTTCATAGACATTAAAGCTTCTATTCCAGGCACACGAAAAATTTGCTGCCAAGTTTTGAAAATTTTTGTAGAAGATATAATTCATCTCTCCAATTATTAATACAGGTATCCTCCTATTTGCAATAGGGTTACATTCCTGAAAACCCTAACGTAAACCAAATTAAAAGTCAGTCGAGATCCTTTTATAATGGGTTTCAATGGCATACGTTCTTGGCCTCCCCAACAAAGACATGTACGTAACACAAAAAGCACGATCCTTCACTAATTAAATAAATAACAACAAATTAACAACACTCACTGAATTAATATTAACAAGCCTGACTCTTAACAATGTCTAACTTCATCTCCAGAGATATGGTCTTCCTCGAAGCCTTGCCTTTTCCCAAGGCAGGGGAGTCTGCTGGACGCTTGCTAGCCATTTTCAAAGTTTTACAGAATTACTGTACACTAATCACTTCACAGTCAACAACACAGAGCAAAATCTAAACTATAAATCCTCTTGCCAATAATGGCAAAGTATCCCAGCTATCACATTGTTGCGCAATGATTAATAACAATGTTTTTCACACGAGCGAGGGCTGATGTGATCACATGCATTAGTCTTTTGATCCAAGGTGTGATCCAGGGCAAATTAGCTGGGTGAGATCTGACAGACTTCTTGGGGGAAAAGTGGTGATGAGCTTCTTGGCGGTGTTGGTATAATTTACCGTATCCATTTGGTGTCCACGTCATCCACACTATCCACTGCCCGAAGAGACTCATTGCAGAGTCAATAATCGGCCTGTAGGTCTTGATGTAGGGTGTCTGTACTTGAGTGGGAATGGCAGCTGGGGACCAGAGCACTGATAGGTGTGTGCTACACCCGATAGGAGGCATTGGTCGGTTAAGATAAGGTCAAGGATATTTTGACTGTGTGTGGGGAAGTTCACAACTTGTGATAGTGACAGTTGGTCCTGGATATCAGTGGTGTCAATTTCATTGTAATCCCCGCATAATACTAACTTGGCACATGGGTACCTAACTCTGAGGTGGTAATGAGATGATTGATAAGAGTGTCTGGTGGTTGAGTGAGGCAGATGGTATGACACACAGATTATAATAGAAGCAGTGTGACGTGGGTGGGCCCGTGGCACAACACGTACCCATAATGCCTCCACATCTGCTGGGACTTGAAAATCCAGGCGTGACGGGCGTAGGTCATCTTGACAGAAGAGGGCAACGCCCCCTCCTCGTCTATGTGAACGAAGGTGATGAAAGAGTTGATATCCCTCAATATGACACGTTTCAGGCACAATTTACCAAGCCTCACATATGGCAACGACACTCGGAGCGACTGACCTGACTGTGGTTGCCAGCTCGTCAAACTTGTTAGCTAGGGAAGTGACATTGGAGAGCAGTAAAGGCGGGAGATCATACCATATCCGCGGAACTTTAGTGTAATGGTACGGTCTGTCAGGGGTGGGTGTCTGGTTTCCAAGTGTGTTTGTGTCAGCTCGGTTCGGCTCGGCTCGGCTCACGGCCTGACTGGGGTAAGGTTGGGTTTTGAATGAGATTAGTCCAGTATTACACGACAATGTTTAATCGGTCATATCTGGAAATAAATGTCCCACTACCAGTTGTAAATACCAAACACAAACAGTATCCCTCATACCTCATATTTTAACTCGCTTCTAATAATAATAACAATCGTGATTAACTTCAAAAGTTAGCTGAATTCAATTGCTCAAACTCACTTGTGACGGATCTGTTATGAAACGCGTTAGAACAGTAGCAAATGATTTTGGGTGAGTTATCACCGTACACTAAACTCTGTAGATGGGTCACTGACGCACAGTTGCTCAATATAGATTAGAAGTCGTCTCCAGACACGTAATCAGACCACCTGTGTGCTCACTGCATCTCACACACTGCCCTCCTATGCCTCGTCTGCTCACTGTCCTCACACACTGTCATCTTATAGCAAAAACCCACATCTGGCCACCACATAAAATTAATTTGTAATACTATTGGAATTAGTTAATTTTACCACCACACCACCCCGTTAGGTACAGTACTGCGGTGTCCCTCAGGACTCATTTAGTTAAAAACTCGGGTTGAAACACGACGGCCCTCTTCAAGGGAAGATGTTGTTTAATAATACGGGCGTAAGTGTCTTATGAAATTTTTTAATTTCTGGCCCACCAGGGGTTGGGTGTAGAGATAGTTAAAGATCCTCTGGTGTGTGATTGTATAAAAAAAAGTAGAAGTGTCTTGGGCATCTAAGAGATTTCTCTGTTGTTTAAGTGGATCTACTTATGAGAGTGTATTCTCTTTTGATAGGTTATTTTGTGCATTTCTTTTTTCATTTATGGAACATAGGGGAACTTATCAGGGAGGTGTGACCTGGTTATTAATGGGATTGTTCAAGGAGAGTAATTAGGCCTTTTGGGCTTTTCCATATTGTTGTCTTCCATCATGTGTGCCCCCACAGTGTTGGTCTCCTACCTGTAAAGATGTAAAGCTGCTCCAACACCTTGATTCCAGGTCTTACACCTGGGACGAGTTTGATTGTGGTTGAATTAGGTGTTCTCTTTTACTTTGTTTAATATCATAAATATTTTCTTATACTGTAGTAGTATTTTAATTTGATTAATTCATGTGATTGATTTATGTTTAGCTATTATTGTTGTGCTTCTTGACACAACACACAGTTTTGGATTACTGTATATCAGGTTTGATTTACTTGGTGATATGTTCAGTAAGGCTTGTGCAATCTTGGATTTTGAAATGGTGCTTGAGGTTATATATTTACTATTTTTCCCCAAGATATTTACTGTTTTGTTTGTTTTGATTCTAAGGCTGTGCTGGCTTGCAGTACCCTTTTACTTAGCTACTGGTCTTGAAATCAACTTATCAAGAGATGAGGAAAAGCGTGTCATGTAGCTATGTGATTCCTGGTCTTGGAGTTGTTACTGTTGTAGGGTTACGTTATGTTGTCTAGCACTCGGGATGGGTTGGATGGAAACTCTAGGTGGTGGTTTTCTTATATAAAATATATTATATACAAGACAGTCTGGTGCTGGACATGCCGTGTGGTGAGAAGCTTGCTCAGAAGACACGTTCGGTGAGCAGCGTGCTGAAGGAGGTAGCTGTGCAGGAGCTTCGTTAGAGGAGATGTTGCGTGTTGCTGTCCTCCAGGTTGAATGTCCCACACGGTGAGAGTAGGGGCTTATATACACAGCAGCCGGGAGTAAACCCGTGGGAACTCGCCGGTTGCTGGACTCCGTTGCTAGGGTATTCGGCTACGCTTGTCAGGTGTAAGGAAGAGTATCGCAGGTGGCGACCCCTCCTGTGAGTACCTCGCCGGTGGTTGAACTCTGTTGCTATGGTATGCGGCTACGCTGTTGTAAGGGAGAGATCCGCTACACTGTATTCACAAGATAAGGGAATTTATGACTGATCCGACATCTTGCCTCGGTGGTGTAATTCACAAGATAAGGGAATCTGCTATATCTGACATTGGCTTATGTTTCAGGCCTTTTTGACCAGACCTCTGTTATTCATTCTAACATATGACCCTAAAGCTGTAAGGAGGGTTAGTGATCAGTAATTAGTTGAGGTTAGGTGGATAGGTAATTTTTATGCAGAGAGCTGGCAAGTGAAATTCTTCCCGAGCACCTAAAAGACTACCGGTATACTGTACTGTACTGTATTTTCAAATGCCAGACCCCAGTTCAAATGGGATGCCCAAGCAATCCTATCAGCCAGATGAGCTTCTATAAAGGCTCATAAACTATTTTTGTGAAATAAGATGTTCCTTTCCCCCCTGTTATTTATGTAGGGAGGATGGTTCAAGGTGTTTACATTTAAATACATTCAGAGGCCTGTATCTGTGTCTCTTCTCCTCAGTTGCTATCCAGATGGAACAGTCTGCTGCTGCTTGAGCACTGCATTTCCTGAACACTAAACAGATACTGGTGCTAGGTGAGGATCAGCAAGTGGGATTATCGGTGTACTTCATATCCCATTCTTTACTTTTGGCCTAGATTAACAATTTGAAATGAGAATTTATGAAATTCAGTTTTGCAAAGAATCCAGCATCAACTGGTGGTGTACTGGTTATATCGTCAAACTAATACTGTACTGTATGTTGAGAAATGGTTACAGTATGGGAATCTACTGTAATTTTTAGTTCCACCTTCTGTGTAAGAGGACTCTGTATGACGACTCTGATTGATTGGTGACCTTAAGTGACTGGTTTTAAGGGTTTTCGTAGAGGAAGGCTCTCTTTTCATAGGTGTCTGCTTATTTGTTTATATGTCAGCTTTTGAATTAAGAAGTTCATGTGCTGTGTCTTTTCTAGGGGATTAGAGTAGTGTTTTTGGAGGAGAGTTAGAAAACTAGGATTTCTTCTGAGGTTAGAGAGAATTGTAAGGCGAGCTTTGTACCTTATAGTACAGTACAGTATTTGTACAGTATATTTATACAGTATCCCCTTGTGGGGCTTGTAACATAAGCATTTGGAGCTATTATTATAATCTACAGTAGTTGTCTTTGAATGCTCTAGGTTTTTAGAACAGATGTAAGACCATATTTTTTTCCCTCCAAAAATGGATTAAGTGGCTTGATTAGCCTGCCTGTTCTTAGTGGGCAAGTCCTAGCACGGGCTGGAAGTGAGTACAGTACAGTAGTTAATCCTGGAATCATAGATTATGTTTGTCAACAAGTGACAGTCATGATGTACACAGCTGATGTTACATAGTGACTTCTTTGGCTTTAGTTTTAGGATAAAGGTGCCACTAATCAATGGATTAGTCACAGCTACAGATGTCTAGGGATTTCCTGAATCCTAACCGTGTTGACTTGGTGGGTTAATTCATTAGCCATGTACAGTATTCCAGACTCTTTAAAATGGCACTTTTCAGAATAAGTCTTTCAATTTGTTATTCATTTTGATATTTAATACTGTACTGTACTTGAGCAATTTCCTGTTTCACTGCAAAGATGAGCAGTCAAGATCAACACACTGGGTTTGTCTCTCTCCAGTTTAGCTATTGCAACACCTGCTTTACTGTGGTGTTCCCCTTGCACTAAAGACACACCAACATCATGCATCAGAATAGTACGGAAATGCTGGGGAACGCACGTGTACTTTTTTGTACAAATACATTAGCTATATCAATTAATATACAGCATTGTACACTACAGTATAATAATAATAATAATAATAATAATAATAATAATAATAATAATAATAATAATAATAATAATAATGTTTTTTCTTTCTTGGTTGTTGCAGTCTCCCAGGAGTAAGAATGGATCACCCATTAACCAGAACTAAGGTTGTAGGGTACTGGTTCAATGAAAAGAAGTGCCAAAAGTTTGGTGTGGCAGAGTTGAAGGCAACATGCAAGTGAGTGTGTAGTAAGGCATCTGTATTTCATGATTTATCACTTGAGCATTTATGTTGTGTGATACTCAAGTACAGTAAAAATAAATAAGAATACAGGTACTGAATACATCTTACAAATACTGTAGGTTCAGTACATGTGCAATACAGTCTCTCTCTCTCTCTCTGGGGGAGTACAGTACTATAATGTTTTTATTTCTTTTGTAATTACTTAGTTCATAATTATATTGTTTGTGCAATTTCACGGTGAAGTTACTGTATCCTTTTTTTTTTTTTTTTTTTCTCCCAAACTTGACTTTTTGTTTTTTAAGAAGGGCTTTGGAAGATCCAAGAACCTAACCTTGTACTACAGTATATTTATGAGTTATTTAAGAGTATGAAAAAAAAAATGAGGGGAGCAGCAGATGGACATGCAATGTACAGTATTTGTTCAGTATTCAGTGTTTTTATATTGCAGTATATTTATATAAGGGAATTTTTAAGCACAAAGTAAAATTTGGATCATGTGAAATACCTTGTACATTGATTACAATACAGTGCCTGCTGTATAGGTACCATATAGGATGTTGTGATAACTGTGCAGTATACAGTATGTACTGTACTGTATATTATACATTATAAATAACATATATAGCTATTACTTGCAAATAATTGGTTACTATTTCTATTTTCAGGAGACGGGGAATAGAGCTTGTCAAGGTACTGTACTGTACGGTACTTCTAAAGTACTGTAACTAGAAAAAGAATGTGTTTTGTAGTCCAGTGATTTTCAGGGAATGAAACCAAATTCCAAACCATTTCATATTTAAAAGTGTTATTTAAATATAAAGGAACCTTATTTTTTTCTGGTACTGTACTTTGTGATATAGTATTTGCCTTGGCTGGAATTATTATTATCCACCCGGAAACCGTAATCCTCACTAATATACATATTATCCAAAAATTTATTTTGATTATGTACTTATAGAAGCCAGAGAATCTCCATTATTTGGTGAATAGTCCTTAGTATGGAGTCATTATACCTGTTGTCCCACAAAACTTCAGCTGCAGTTTTTGGAGCTTGATATTAAAGAGTGTACACATACAGTATTAATGTATTATGCCGACCTGTTGATTATAGGTGAGAAGAAATTTCTGTATTCATGTCCTCTGCTAGTTGTGAAGGGAGTAAAGAATAATTAAAATTCTTCTCCTGTGCAGGTATTGTGTAACTGATATCACTTATTATCTTGTACAGTTCTGGATTACCACATCTTCATATATCTTTTTTGTTTGTTATTTACATGAGGGTAACAAAATGAAAAGTTAAATCTTCCAATTTTTTTTAACTAAATGGATAGTGCTATATACAGTAAATAAAATGCTTGATTCCTCACTCATGTCATTAAATTGTTTCAGGCTTAGAATCCAAGGTAAAAATTGTACTGCATTGGGATTGTTGCCAGTGTTCTCACATTGAGGATAATTATTTGGGTGTTACAGTTGTGAAAATGTGTTTCTGTGCCCCCTGTGGTAACCTGTTCTCCAAATGGCAACATTGCAGTAGTAGTATCACTGTTTATGAATGAATGGGTATTGATTGTGTAATAACGGACGTGATAGGTGGATAAGTTTGCTAATAGTCATATAGGTTGGCCGTTTGGAGACACGGGCTACCACAGGCGGGGTAGGAACACATTTCCACAACTGTACCATTGTGAGTACAGTACAGGAGGTTTAACACTGGTAAATACCAACTGAGTAATCACATGTGCAAGGAAGAGAGCATTCAACACTAAATTTTATATGGAACTGAGAGTTGGTATGGGTGTGCATCTTACATCTGGTACCCATGCTTCTGGTATGCACTGTGCTTTCTGCTTCTTAGTTGTTTTTGCATTTCGAATTTGGGATGGGTTGAATCATAGGGTATTGGCTGTGCAACATATGTTTTTGTGAACCACCTTCTTTGCAAGATTGAATCCATATAAAATTAATTTGTGCAAAGTGAGGGAAAGTGTGTAGGCCTACTAGATATGTATAAACTCTTGCTAGGCCATTGTCATTTATTATAAGAATTAAAAGCTAAATATTAAATGTAAATGAACTAGGATTTCATTTGCTTGTTCTTTTCAGATTGATATGAGTTCTCCTATGGAAGACCAAGGACCCTTTGACCTTTTGCTTCATAAGCTGACAGCATTGTATGCTCAGGCACGCAATGATGATCCCAAGGTAACATTATCATATTTGTTATTTATATAAGATTTGACACAACAATATACTGTATACAGATTGGTCTCCCCATTCAAGAGGTATATGTTCCTTGACAAGACTTTATTTGAGGAATCTAAGGAATCCACAATTAGGGAGCCCTTTATATAGGGTGGAGTAGGGGATATGTTCCTGAACCATCCAAACTTTAGAATACCTGCAATTGAAGTACAGCAAGCCCTTAAAATTTGCGGATTTTTAATTTGCGGTCCTCTATTATTCGCGGATGACACCCTGGACGTACCCAAGAATGTCTAAGGGAAGTTTTAAAGTTGCTGGCATTTTCGCGGCTGGGACAGGGAGCCATTCGTTCTAGAGACAGTAATTTCCTATACCTGTATTGTATACTGTACTGTACAGTATTTGTAATAATAATAATAAATAATAATAATTAACGGTTTATTGAAAAAGTTCTGCAGCTCGAAGGCTGAAAATGTTCATTGGACTTAAATGACTTATTACATACATTGACATTGGTGGTTTAACAAAAGCCTTCATTAGAAAAAGGCAAAGGAACATACAGTGAACCTACAGTGAACGTAGGTCATGTACGCTGAGGTGTTGAACAGCAGACACGTAGTGTAGTAACTCCCTCACAGATGGTGTTATGAAGGGCATCACGTGGTGTAGTAGTTCCCTCACAGGTGGTGTTATGGGGGGCTTGACCTGGTGTAATAATTCCCTCAAAGATGGTGTTATGAGGAACCTCACATGATGCTGATGTCACAGGACCTCTCACTCAAGTGAGTGAGGTGTGGTCCCAGGCCTCCCTATCGTGGATGGATTAACACATAGCTGGTGTTGTTGAGTCTCGGGGGCAGTTATCATTGGTTACCTGGGACCTCACTGTGAAGTTTAGCTTGGGTACGACTCAGCTGTTACTGTTGAGTTTTTTTTCACTGACTTAAGCACTGTTCACCACTATTCAACATTGGTTCCATTCTTTTCCTAAATGAAATAATAACTTGTGGCGAGAACATGTTGATATTCTGGTGGGGAGGAGGGATTCAGGGGAGGGAATTGGTATGGGCCAACATAACAGTTGATCTGGCTGTTGCCAAAGCAGTGCCAGGTACGTCTTGACCCTTCGGTGGTCAAGGATAAAGTGTGTGTGTGCGTGCACGTGCAATACAGGTAAAAGAAATAATTGTTTTAAGGGCAAACACGTAAAGGAAATATACATTTCTTTGTACACAAGTAAAGTAAAAATGTACCCCCGGTCAGCAAATGTTACGCGCAGATTTGACGATTCGCAGTCATTTTGAGAACCCAAACCCCCCACCCTATGAATTTGAAGAGCATGTTCAGTCATATATATATATATATATATATATATATATATATATATATATATATATATATATATATATATATATATATATATATATATATATATATATATATATATATATATATATATATACTTCATTTTTAGTCCATATAACACGCGGACTTTGAACATATAATCAACGACCTCACCAGCGGATCGAACCCTGAACCTACTGGTGGGACTAGGGAATGCTACCGACCACTGCCACAGTGTCCTTGTGGGTAGCCGGTAGCGTTCCCTAGTCCCACCCAGTAGGTCGAGGGTTCGATCCTTGCTGGTGAGGTCATTGATTTTATATATATATATATATATATATATATATATATATATATATATATATATATATATATATATATATATATATATATATATATATATATATATATATATATATATGTATGTATGTATGTATGTATGTATGTATGTATGTATGTATGTATGTATGTATGTATGTATGTATGTATGTATGTATGTATGTATGTATGTATGTATGTATGTATGTATGTATGTATGTATGTATGTATGTATGTATGTATGTATGTATGTATGTATGTATGTATGTATGTATGTATGTATGCTACAACGCGATAGTTGCCTTCTTGAGAAACCTCGGGCTGTAAAAATTCACGCAATAGAAATAACAGGGCTTATGGAGAAAATAGGGTTAGGTGCATGCATATTACTTGACTGTGATCTCACAGATTTGCTAGCACTCAAGCTTGTTCCAGCAATAGTGTTATAGCCTTTCTTTTACGTTCACCACCGGCAATTCGATCACCAGAACGCTTCTGGGAAGCATTTTTCTTACCTTGTCTTTCCATATTCATCGCTAACACGACAAAATTGGAGAAAACAGCGAAAATCATGGAGCTATCGACAGAAACCACGTGATTCAACTGATCACGTGATGTAAACAGAGAGCGCTGGTGTAAACCGTTATTAGTCCTCACTGCAAAACATTCTTTTAACTTATTCTTTTCATACAGTATTTGTGGGTAACAGCTAAATTTGAAAAAAAAAAAAAGAAGGAAATTCGGAGTACTTCTCAAAGAACACTTCACAAACAAACCACATGAATCAATTGAACATGTGATATCGAATGTGAACTGTAAATATTGCATAACCCTGCTACACTTATAACGTTGAGGGTGGAATCGCGTTACAGCCAACATTCGTATGCAAAAGTTCGCATTTTACAAACAGCGTTTCCCGATTCATCAATCGCATTGCAACCAATTTGCGTTGACAACACACACGTTGTAGCAGAAATGACTATGTTGTTTTCAATATCTTCTTTATGTACACCATTCTGTTTTTTATATATATTTCAGGCTGTAGCTGCAATCAAAATGTTTGAAAATTACATTAAAGATCACCCAGAAACCTCTGTAATGGATCCTCTTCCTGGTGTTCTCCGACTCTTGCTGAGGAACCAAACTTATGACCTTCTACGGCAGTGCTTCAAACAAGATGGCAAGTAGATAATTTAATCACAAATAATAATCCAATACAGTGGAACTCTTTTAATAGTACACTCCCCTTGTTGTGTTAGAACATAACATTACACATGGTGGAACATTAAGTATGTTTGACTTTCTTTATTTGCTAGTATTGTGCAGGGTGATTATCCTCACTGTTTTATGGCCATTACCTGGTGGCATCTCTCCAGGCTGCACAGTCCCTTGCAGGTATTATCGCTTAGGCTCATTTCTCACAACCTCTCCCCATGTCATTCTTGGCCTAGCACTAGTACTTCTCCCCTTCACATTCAAACACCTGCATCTCTTGATTTAATTTATCTTCATTCACTTCATGCCCAAACCAATTTAACTAATGTCTACACAATGCTCTCAATACCCACCTGCCCTCCTCGCTCTGAATACAGTGGTCCCTCGGTTAACGAGCACAATCCGTTCTAGAAGGTTGCTCGTTAACCGAAAGCTCTTTAACCGAAACCATTGTTTCAATGGGTTTTCGGGTAATTGGTTCCAGCTCACCGAAAATTACCTAAATTCAACAAAAAAGGTAGAAAAGTACACTTACTTTGAGGTGTGTATGTAGAAGGCTCCTGGATGATGATGATGATGATGATGGGAATTAGAATGGGGGTGGAGGAGAAGGGAGAAGAGAAGGCATTGGGGTGGAAGAGAAGTCACCCCATGGTGCCATTTCACCCATAAAATTTTAGTTCTCTTGGTGTAATTCAAGATTATTTTCTTTAAATCAACACTGCACTGCATTATATATTGTCAATATGTAAAATATATTTCAAAATGACCAATAATTTGCTTGCAAACACAGAAAAAAAGTGTTTAGTTGAAGAGAGTCTCAAGCAAGATGTTACCTCCACTGAAAAGACACAAAGACTGGCACCTGTATGGTGTGTTGGCAGGCTGGATGGCGTGCCACAAACTAGTGACCCTACCTTCAATTATGTTCAATAAGTGTTAAAATAACTAAAAAATTTAATATTAAACTTTTAAAATTATTGAATAGTATAAACTTCTTGATATTTACTAAAATAGTAAGGAATTTAAGCCCTAGAACTGATTACGTACTGTATTGGCAGAATAATATGACAGCTAGTGTGCAAGCGAAAACGTGTTGAGGGGCGCTCGTAAGAAACTCATTAATCGAGGGATTGCGCGTTAACCGAAGTTAAGAATCTTATGGAAGGTAACGCGTTAACCGAAATCTCGTTAACCAAGGTGCTCGTTAACCGAGGGACCACTGTACGGTTTTTTATCTCCGCATCATGTTACAGAACCATCTAACCATTGTCATCTCATCTCTCTCAAGCCTACATATGTCATTCTTATCAGGTGCTCATGTTTCACTGCCTTACAATAACACAGTTTTCATAACTTTTGCATTCAGCATTCCTTTCAAGCAGAAAGAAGTTTTTCTTTATGTCAATAAAGGCAACAGCTCCGTAAATTAATTAATTTATCTTCCCTTCCATATTTTGACTCGTGTATGACCCAATTGGTCTTCTCCATTCTCTCCATATGCCCAAACCATCTCAACCTACTGACTGTGAACACCCTTATTACAGACAGCACATGGCCATTTTCAATTTTATGCCACAGGTCCCTCACCCATGCCATTAACAATTACTTTTGTTTTTTTTCACACATTCTCTCATACTTTTTGACTGCATTCCATCCTTCCATTTCTTAAATTTCTCCACTACCTGTTCTTGCCTTTTGGAAGTCTCAAATAGGAAATGTGGGTTTCTGTCCTTCCCTCGATTCTTCTCTTCTAGTTACCAGGCCATGAATACTGCTTCTGTCTATTCCCCCTGGCATGAACTTGAACTGCATTTCATTAATGTTTATTTTTTTCCTTTATAAATTTCTTGATCACCAATACTTGTTTACTCATAAGAAAATATCCTTCATTAAGTAGCACTAGCAAGGCATTAAAGAAGGAATTACAAAACTTAGCTATACTAAAAATAATCAAAATCAACTGGTGTACAACATTATAGTTTCTTTACTCACATTCATTCACTGTTGTATCAAACTTAGCAGAATCTTTGCCTTGATCAAAATTCCTCTGAAATAAAATGGTCTCAAGTGGGAAGAGAATCAAGAGCCTTTTGGGGTTTAACTCGTTGATAATCAGGCACTACCGAGTGTCTAACCATCTTACCTGATTTGCTGGCACTACCTTGTAACCTCAGACCACCCAGCTGTCACACCCAAGACGTGGGGAAAGCAGCTAAATGATGAACATTATGCCAAGCTAAAACTGATGTACAGACAATTTCATTGAGTGTTTTTTTCAGAATGTGATATAAAATTAAGTTATTACACTAAACAAAGTGAAATTTGGTTCTGCTGTATTGGTTCATATTTTTAAAAAAGTTTATACTGTACTGTACATAGTATGTAGACTCAGAGTTTTGCTGCAAGTGAAGAAAGAAATTCTTTATTTTGGTGTTCTTTAATGTCTATATATGTTTTTAATTTATTTTGAGCTCCTGAAAAACATATGACAATTCTACATGTCTAGTTATTGCCAAAAATTTTTTTTTTAGAATTTTTCATTATTATTATTACAGTATTCATTTTTTAAGATGGAGTTTTCAAGAAATTTATAGTACAGTATGCAGTTCATCAGTTGTGTGGGAGAAACAATTCGTCTCTAAATGTTGGGGCAAGGTCCATCTGGTTCTGATACCTGTAAGGGATTGTTTTTTGTGGTTATAATAGTACTCTAGTAATAATAGAAGTCATGCTGAAGTGAATAGTTGTACTGTACCTTGAAAACAACTTAATGTTTTTTGTTGTTGTTTTTTATTTCAGGGATAAATGCATGAAAGTACTGTAGGTATGTGTGGATTTGGATTTTGGCTTGAATTATCTATGACTGATGCAGTGGATTTGGTGATCCATGTATAGTACTGGATGTGCTTCATCAAGTTTGTAGATAACCAGGCTGATACCCCAAGGTTCTCCAGACTCATCCACTTGAATTTTAGGCACAGAAAAGTGTTAATATGGAAAGACCCATCTACAGTAGTGAAAAAAATACCACTATTTTTTATTTTTTTTATTTTTCATGTAAATTGCATCACAACTAATCTTGTATCAGAAGAGAGTTTGCTGTAATAATAATAGTACCTGTACTGTATTCTCTTTAACCTAATGGTTGCCATTTCAAGTTCTGTAGCTAGCCACTGAGTGGGATGTCCCCAATCAACTTGGATGTAATATTTTGCTTTCATATGTATCCCAGCATTTGAAAGTTTAGCTTAGAGGGGCAAGGTCAGTTTCAACAGTTAGTAAACTCATTTTTTGTCTGGTTAGGCAAGCTCTTAACTAGATTAGAAAATATGCTCAACTGGCTAGTGATAATCTTGAAAAATTTCATGTGTGAAAATTTTTTTTGATAATGTAATAAAATATTAATTTAAACATAAGGACTTTAATGTTTTTACTTTTAGATTACCAAGTTTGGTATAAATGGAAATTGGAGTGGTGGGAACATCTGTCTAAAATGGGTAATGTAACTTTTGTCTATATATGTGGTCAGCTGATGATAAGTTCTACCTTTCCTGTAGCCAGTCATAGGGAACTAATGAGAACCTGGAGCCTGACACACCCTCTTTTCCATATTACATTGGTTCACTTTGTGCGGTGTTGTCTAGGAATCCAACCACCGTGTAAATTGTGGACTTCTTGTACAGTATTATTATAATTACTATTTTTGTTATTATTAATGATCTTATTAGTATTACTGTATTACTTTATGTACTGCTAATATTGGCTATATTTTTTATTTTAGATAAGGTGTTCACTCCCACATATGTAGAACTCTCCACAACAAATTTACACCACAACAGAAAGTTGATTCAGGAGGCAAATGTTACATTCCCAGTGGGTAAGTTCATAATACAGTACTTAACTACGTACTTTAATTTAACCCGGGTAACTCAGCTCCATGCACAAAGTACCCCATGCACAGTACTTTGTTGTTAGACGTGTATTGTTTTATCAGTGTACCACAGAGTCGTTATTTGGTACTTAAAACAACCTTTTAGTGTGAAATTACAACATATTTTGCTATCTTTTCTTCATCACAAAATGAGAGGCTATGATGTAAGATCATTGAGTTTAATTCTGCTCTGTAATTGGCTGAATGACCTTAGAGAATCTGAGTAGTGCTACGATTAACTCGGACAAGATGAAAATTTTTGTTAAACTGTACGTACTAATAAACACCAGACTTAATCTTGCCTTAATTATGTGTGTGTTTAGAAAAATGGTAACTTTCCTTGTGAGAATGTAACGGTGATTCAGGTTACACAGAAATGCACAAGTTCATCAAGACTCGATGCTGATCTAACTAAATACTAATAAAAAAAAAAGATATGTTTTTGTGTATTGTAATTCATATTCAATTAAATGCAATATTTCCAATGTTTCAGTAAATTAGGGTTAGATGAATTAATTTTAAAATTTTACTGGTTAACCATATGTGCTGGTGTTGGTGGTGCAGTGATAATATTTATATCTCTCTATTGTGTCCTGGGTTTGATTATCATGTATACGTATCACTGACTTACAAGAGATCAACGTATTGGTGATATGGAATGGCTCCTTGTAGCTTTCTATGATTATTAACTGCATTTGTGTTCTGTTGTCTCCCACTAACATAAGCACGTGAACCAAAATTCTTTGTGGGGACAAGGTACAATTTGCCTGTATTTTAAGATGCACAGAGATAAGTCCTCATGTGTCGCAGTCCACTGAAGGACCTTTCTGCTGAACATGAAGTGGCTGGAATTGATCAATAAAATCTTTTGATACATTGTAATCAATGACTGCTTTCCTGTTTTGCCAGAATCTGTGGAAACAGTTTCACTGAATTGACTGTACTGTATGTCCTGAATTTGGTGGGAATCCCCCCCCACCCATCCATGGACCATACACCTGTGCCCACTAGCCTGACATGTCCAGGGGGTAGTAGTGGAATCTCATCCTCTCCCCCCACATTTTTATAGGGAAGTTATTTAAGATTGAATACTATAAGTCAATAAATTAATTGGGGAAATTTGAATTAAGTTAATGTAACTAAGATGATCAATTTATCAGCAATTTTTTTTGACTGAGCCCTGCAGCAAATATGATCAACACAAACATAAAGAAGGTGCTATGAACTGTGGAACTTCCTGTGACAGTGTTACCTGGGTGACATAACCTCTTATCAGTTCAAATTATACTGTTTCAGATATCTTCAGTCTTTGGGTCCAGGGTGATGCCCGGGTGATTAGATTGAGTGACACTTTTTATCACAGACTTCACACATGTCAAATGTTCTGGGGAAGCCGTGATAGAAAATTTCTTAGCAAGCTTTTATATTTGTTTTACTATCAAATGCATACAGTAAAGCCTCCGATAATGATGGTTCGACCGACGACGATTCATATTTAAGACCCTAGTTAATTTAGGACCTAATTCAATTTACGTCGTTATTTTATTCATATTTACGATAAAAATATAATAAAATAAAATTAAATTTCGTATAAATAATAACTAAATCCCGATATGTATTATACAAATAAAGAAAATACTGTTAAAAAAAAGTGCCTTGTGCAAGGAAGCTGCTGGGATAATGAGTGGTAATGCGCATCACCAGTAAACAAGAGTCGGAGCTTGGCGGTCCCTTTGTTTTCACGCATCTGAATAGGAACAGGAGAAAAACTTTCTCGGGTTTCTTACGGCACCTTTGAGTCCCTATTCAACCTGAGCAAGAGAGCAAGTGATGGTAGTGCTGGTTCAAAAGCTAAAAGAAAGTGTATAAGCTTAACCGAGAAACTAGAGGGGTTAAAACGGTATGACAAAAGTGAGAGGTCTGGATATTTTGCGTGCTTTGGGGATGGCGGAATCAACAGTGTAAAATACAGTATCTGTAAGAATAGAGAAATAATTAAAGAAAGTGCTCTGTCTACAACGCCGTTAAGTGCAAATAAAGTTTTCCAAAGCAGTAGTGGGGTTATGGAAGAAATGGAGAGACTTTTACGTACAGTATATGGATTGAAGACAAAAATCAGAAGCATACTCCATTGAGCACTATAATTATTTAAACAAAAGCCCGAGCATTGTTTAATGATCTTAAAAATTCAAGTAAAAGGGAAAGTACTAAAACAGAAAAGTTCAGTGCGAGTCGAGGCTGGTTTGCTAGGTTTAAACAACGCCACGAATTCCAAAATAATCGAGGAAGGCGGCTAACTGCCCAGTCAAGCTTTTAACGTTGATGAAACTGGACTATATTGGAAGAGAATGCCTTCCTGGACATTTATTTCCATGGAAGAAAAAGCTGCCCCAGGATTCAAAGCAGCCAAAGATCGTATCACACTCCTCTTGGGTGGTAATGCAGAAGGTGACTTTAAACTCAAACCTCTCGCTGTATATAATAGAACGTTGATCTAAAGCGATTCAATTTAAGATTATTCATTTAAAGCGACACCCATAATTAAGGACACTGTTTTAATTTAAAGCGAATCTTTCTTATTTTGAGCGAGTCAATCTGATGCATCATATTTAAAATTTTTGCACCTAATGTTTCTCTGGCACACTACACTATCCTAAGGGCAAAGCTGTACTGTACATGTACCGGTACTCAAAATAATGTATTAAATGATTACTAAAATTTTTGTCTAGTGCAAACTATAGCATGATTATATTCAAATTAATCAATATCTTATAAGAATTCCAGCAATGTAAATTATATTCTCCCCGGTCACTTCTGTGACATTTTATAAGCAAAAAACATAAACTCAATCTGAAGGACATAAATAAACAAATAAATACTTCACTAGACCTTCAGCCCCAACTGTCAAACATGTCACTGTCACCTCCCCCCCCCCCCATCTTCCCAGCCAGGGTTTGGTGTTTTAGGCTTTAAGTTTTAATATTATATAGTATCACAGACTAAAGTTAGGAGAATATAATTTGTATTGCTGGAATCCTCGCAAGACAGCGAATAATTTGAATTTAAACGTCATATATTTTGCACGAGATAAAAGTTTGTGCTCTTTGTACTAAAATTCTTGAATTAGAACTAAAATTTGTATGTCTAATGTGAGCTATAGCATGTTTATATTCAAACTAATCACTATATTGTAAGAATTCCAGCAATGTTAATTATATTCTCCCATGTCAGTTCAGTGACATTTTATAAGAGAAAAACTTATTCACTCTTAAGGACAGATAAATAAATAAGCACTAGACCTTGGCATCAACTGTCAAACATATCACCTCACCTCCCTCCCTCCTCCTCATCTTCCCAGCCAGTAAACAGACCATTTCCCATCCCTTAATTTTAGTCTTGTTGATTTATGAGTGTTTGTTTTAACATAATACTACAAAAAACAATATTTTGTTTATTCTAGGAGATGGGCTGAGGTGCATCTGGGTAGACTCTCAGTCTATTTCGTATTTTGTGTTTCTAAATTATTCCATTGAAACAACACTTAGATTTAGTGCGAATTCGGTTTAAAGCGACCTCTTGGAACATATCTCGCGTTATATCGACGTTCTACTGTATCACTCTGAGAGCCCTAGAGCATTCAAAGGTGTGTGTGTAAACAAACTTTACCAGTAATTTGGCGGTCAAACAGTAAAGCATGGATGACAATGACTCTTTTTGTTGATTGGTTCAAAAAATATTTTTGCCCAGCGTTAAAAGAATACTGTGCCAAGAAAAGCATAACACACAAGGCACTGTTTATATTAGATAATGCTCCAGGCCACCCAGCTCACCTAAATGAATTGTCTGAACATGTACAAGTCGTTTTTCTTCCACCGAATACCACGTCCATGCTTCAACCTATGGACCAAGGCGTTATATCATCATTTACGCCATGCTATGTCTCAACTGATTGAAGAAACAGATGGTTATGGAAAGCCGTCCACAGATGTATGACTTAAGTATTTGGCAGAAAGATTTGCTCACATAGAGCAAGCAATGAACAGGGATGTGAAAAATGCATATGACCTCTACATAAAGATGAATAATGAGAATAAGAAAGCAGCTGTGCAAGGTTCTTTAGACAATTTTATTATTCGACGGCCTACACTATCAACTTCAGCTACACCATCAACATCAGCTACACCATCAACATCAGCTACACCATCAGCATCAGCTACAGCTTCAGCCGGAGTTGAACCTGATGACTTAGCAACTGTGCCGTCCGAGTAAAAACACACACAACAACATTGGCTGACCTTATGTTTTCAACTTTGCCACCACTGGTGAGTAGAATTTTTGTTTTAAATTCAGAAGCATAAAATAAAACATATATGAGCAGTAGTAAGTGCTGCTTTCATATTCTATGTAAAGAAATGACGATATGTTTACACGTGCTCACTTACATAGAATGGTGTTGCAGTCTCATTTTTTCTATACCATTAGTGGTTAGCTACTTCTATTGTTCCATTTATGAACAGTAAATAACATTAGTTAAAAAATATATATTCATTTTTTTACATTAATTTTACTACAGCTACAACCAGGGTCTTATTTTCTTCAGTTTCGTATGTCGAACCAGTCAGTCACGGGTGTAAACATTAACGAAAGCAATGCTGCCTCGTGTGTTTTAATATTCTACGTATTATTAATGAATTGTATTGTTCATTTTGCACACAAACATTAATTTAATCAAAAAGACATTCAGTAATAAACAATAATTAATCTTTTGTACATAAGAGAAATGTCGCTGTTTACACGATTGTGCACGTATAAACGTTGGTCCTCTGCTGTCTCTCTATTTTCTTTACCATCAGTGGTTACCTCCACTGTACATTAATTAAATAACATTAATTAAAAGAGAATTTTTTTTTACAATAAAGTAATCTTCCGATTTAAGCGGTCAATTG